AAGAATAGTGGTAGTTTATTGATATAATTATATAGTAATAACATCCTAACATTATTTCAGAACCGTAACGTCTTTAAGATCAATGTGTGAAGAGCAAGCTTCAAGTTGCAACAGCATTCCTTCCACATCAACAAGCAGCGTGGATGATGTTCTGACTCCTATCACTGATGATAATACTTCCACATCACTGTCTCCAGTCTTACCGAAATCACGAAGTATGAATGTTTATTATACGCAACTTACATTAGCGAATGAATAATAATTAATTTATATATTTTTTTGTTGCAGAAAAAAAGAGGATTGATTTAGACGAATACGAAAAAACTCATGAAGATGAGTATGAGAATATATCAGAGTCTTCAATCTTTACAAATGTTTTGCCAGTAAAAAATTTCAAATATTCTGAAAAAAGAATAAGATGTATAAGAAAAGTATTATTAAATAAAATAAATGAATGGAAAAGAACACAATTAAGTTGGCACAAAAAAATGCGAAGAATACAATTAGTTAAAACTTTTTTACTTTTTATTTCCTTCCAACAGCTTCCAAAATGCACGTACGTTGCAAAACGAATAAACAAACGGACACTTCGCGAATTTTTCATGTCGATAGGTTAGAAATTTTTCCGTTCCGTAACAGTTCCGTGCCATGGGGAACCCAGTGGTTAAAAAGCGGAACGGAATTGAAACGGAATCATTCTGATTGGCTACTTTCCATCTAGTTTCTTTTCCGCTACTGTTCCGTTCCGCTATTTCTTCCTTCGTCGGGATGCACCCTAAAATAAATTAAGAACTTGTCCAATATAATATCGCCTTAATGTTTTAGAAATGCGTAACTTTCATATTATGAACAAACTTTAAGAAACTGTTGTATTGCCGAACTTCAGAATTCTGTACAATTCTGTCAAATTTTGATAGCACCTGCAATATGCTTTTTGTGTATTATTTCTTGTTCTCTGCTTTTCGTATTTTTACTTCTTATGTGTTTATTGCATGAAGTCTAGAAACACCGCGATTTACAATTTCTCCTTGGTAAATTTCCAAAGAAAAATATGCCTTTACATAAAGGCAAAAAGGCAGAAAACAAAAATCAAAAAGCACTGTAGATTGGGCTTGAAACGTTATAGAAGGTAAATAGGTATTTTCAAAGCCAGATTAAATCATTTAGAATTATAATTAAATTAGCAGCTAGAAGAAATTATTGACAAAAAATACAAGACATTCAAAAATAACATTTTGTAAGATAAATGCAATCTACACTAAAAAACCTAGGCATATGAATATTACAAACATGTATACATAAAAAAATTATTTACATTAGCTTTATTTGTAAATTACATATGTCAATAGATATAATAAAGCAATGTCAATGTCTTTAAATATTGTATAATTAAAATTAATTCATTTTTTATCACTGTCCTTATTGCTCTCAGATCAACTGTTTTTTATACTTCTTTTCTTATATTTCTTTTTCTCATTGGACGGTTTCAGATTCAGGTTCACTATCACTGCTCTAAGATTTCTCACGTTTCTTATGTTTTTTCTTTGCTTCTTTTAGCTTTTTCTTCAATTCGCGCTCCTACAATTCCGTCAATGGAGTTAAGTAATTCTCGTCGCTGTTGGAACTCGTACTGAACACGATTTCCTTGTTTGGATCGATCTTAATAAAATTGTGGCATTAATAGGTTAAATGTTCGACGTATCCGCATTTTTTGCAAGTAGGTCGTACGTGCTCCTTGTTCTAAAGGATCAATCTAGAAAGAATTCTGAGATCAATGAATCTGCAAAAAATCAACATATGGAAGCCATGTGTTAATGGATGCAAAATAGATACATTAAACAGCCTACTTTGCATACATATATACCTTGGTATTTTTCTTATACTAAAATAAGCAATTCAATATGTCGTGATAATCAACATTTTAATAAATTAACACACAATAGGTAAAAATTCATTAAATTTTAGTTTTATTTATGATGAAACAAAGCCGATCTGATATGAACGATAAAAGCAATCACCTAAAAAAAAAACGAATAATCCAGGAATTGAATAATTGCTAACAATAATTGATAATCATAAATAGCTGACTTGAAACTCAGTTGAAACCATGAATCAATAATTACTATTCAGTTACGATTTCATGGAATTATGATTATGCAAAAATGAGTCGTCCACCCATGTATTTATGCAAGTTCCCTGAGGATTCAAAAAAAAAAAAATTAAGAAAAACAAAAGCTCAAAAAATCGTGCGCTGTGAATTGCATGGAATGACGCTTCTACAATCATCCTTGACACGCTATAAACAGAAGAGCCCGAAACGTGGTCGATGCGTCCATATAAACGTTCGCACACACATGAACACGTGCGCATGCAGGCGTTCTTGCTTGTAGTTGCGAGCTATCGCGATAGTTCTAGACGCTTGGAAAAATGTCGCCACTTCCTTTCACTACGCTAGTCACGAGAGTGGAGTCATACGTCAAGCCGAACGGACGCGTATTGCTCAAAGACTCATGCGTGACACGCCGTGCCAATTGATTTGTGAATTTTTACAGATGTATATCGTGGCAGCAATCGTGGTTTCTGCGCTCTATCTGGCCTCGAGGAGTGATTTTGATAGAACATTCTAGAAGCTGTACGGGTTTCCGTTTTCGAATCTTCTAGAATATTGTAGAATATTCAGCGCCAATAAGTGACCGCAGCGCGCCACTCTTGACTAGTCGTTCAATATTCGTCGATGTGGCCGCGCGCGAGGACTTGCTTTGTTCCAAGCAAATTTTCGTGCACAAGCGTTGCATATTGAACTCAAACTGCGAGTACATTTGTGTATTTAGCAGTTGTAATCAACGTGATTGGCGTTCAGTGAAATATTTGCTGAAAAATGCCAGAAGACGTGACCATGGAGAACGCCGGCGAGGTGGAGACCTTTGCCTTTCAGGCTGAAATCGCTCAATTAATGAGCTTAATCATCAATACCTTCTACTCGAACAAAGAAATCTTTATCCGAGAATTAATCTCAAACTCGTCTGATGTAAGTGCCTAGTGTATTATAAACGAAAATCGATAAACTCTCCATGCCCTATTTGCGTCACCACGCTGTTGTTTTATTTAAAATTATTTCAATATTTTCATTAAATAATTGTAATTTTTTATTTTATTTTATTAATTCTTAAACATAAATGCGTTTTTGTATTACATCATCTATAAAATGTTTGTGAGAAAATTTATTTAACATGTTTATAAATTTAAAAATTACTATGAAGAATTACGTGAATTTAGATGTGCAACATTGAACTTTGTTAATAACACCACGCTAATCATTTTATGAATTATTTAGGCGTTGGACAAAATTCGATATGAATCTCTTACGGAGCCATCCAAGCTTGATACATGCAAAGAACTGTTCATCAAAATCGTCCCGAACAAGAATGACCGCACTCTCACAATTCTTGATTCGTAAGTATCAATCTTTATCAACAAAAATACATATATAATGTATAATGCAAACGTTTTCATCAAATTAAATTTTTTTTATCTTTACAGTGGTATTGGTATGACCAAGGCTGATCTCGTGAATAACTTGGGTACCATCGCTAAATCTGGCACCAAAGCGTTTATGGAAGCTCTGCAGGCAGGTGCTGACATTTCCATGATTGGACAGTTTGGTGTAGGTTTCTATTCGGCATATCTTGTGGCTGATAGAGTCATCGTAATCTCGAAGCACAATGATGATGAGCAGTATTTGTGGGAGTCTTCCGCCGGTGGTTCGTTTACGGTACGCCCGGACAATGGCGAGCCGATCGGTCGTGGCACAAAAATTGTTTTGCACATCAAGGAGGACCAGACTGAATACTTGGAAGAGTCAAAGATTAAGGAGATTGTAAAGAAGCACTCTCAGTTCATTGGCTATCCCATTAAGCTCGTTGTAGAGAAGGAACGTGATAAGGAACTGAGCGAGGATGAGGAGGAGGAGCCCGCAAAGGAGGAAGAAAAAACTGAGGACGACAAGCCTAAGATCGAGGATGTCGGCGAGGATGAGGATGAGGATAAGCCCAAAGAGGAGAAAAAGAAGAAGAAGAAGACCATCAAAGAGAAGTACACAGAGGACGAAGAGCTCAACAAGACAAAGCCGATCTGGACGAGAAATCCAGATGAAATCACGCAGGAAGAATATGGCGAATTCTATAAGAGCTTGACGAATGACTGGGAGGACCACTTGGCTGTGAAGCACTTCTCCGTGGAAGGACAGCTGGAATTCAGGGCGCTGCTGTTCATCCCGCGTCGTGCGCCTTTCGACTTGTTCGAAAACAAAAAGAGGAAGAACAACATTAAGTTGTACGTACGACGCGTCTTCATCATGGACAATTGTGAGGACCTGATTCCAGAATATTTGAACTTCATCAAGGGCGTCGTAGACAGTGAGGATCTTCCTTTGAACATCTCCCGTGAGATGTTACAGCAGAATAAGATCCTGAAGGTTATCAGGAAGAATCTCGTTAAGAAATGCTTGGAGCTCTTCGAGGAATTGGCCGAGGACAAGGAAAATTACAAGAAGTGCTACGAGCAATTCAGCAAAAATCTGAAACTCGGCATCCACGAAGACAGCCAAAACAGGAAAAAGCTGTCGGAATTGCTCCGCTATCACACTTCCGCATCCGGCGATGAAATGTGCTCGCTGAAAGACTACGTCGGCAGGATGAAGGAGAATCAGAAACATGTCTACTACATCACCGGCGAGAGCAGGGAGCAAGTCGCTAACAGCTCGTTCGTTGAACGTGTGAAGAAGCGCGGCTTCGAGGTCGTGTATATGACTGAGCCCATTGACGAGTACGTCGTTCAACAGCTGAAAGAATTCGATGGAAAGCAATTGGTGTCCGTCACGAAAGAGGGCTTGGAATTGCCGGAGGATGAGGAGGAGAAGAAGAAACGCGAGGAGGACAAAACCAAATTCGAGAGTCTCTGCAAAATTATGAAGGACATTCTCGACAAGAAGGTCGAAAAGGTAGTAGTATCGAACAGACTGGTCGACTCGCCATGCTGCATCGTCACGTCGCAATACGGTTGGACGGCGAACATGGAGAGGATCATGAAGGCTCAGGCGCTCCGAGATACATCCACCATGGGATACATGGCCGCAAAGAAACACTTGGAGATCAATCCGGATCATCCCATCATGGAGAACTTGCGGCAAAAGGCTGAGGCTGACAAGCATGACAAATCGGTTAAAGACTTGGTCATGTTGCTGTTCGAGACTGCTCTCTTGTCCTCTGGTTTCGCGCTCGAGGATCCACAAGTACACGCATCTAGAATATATAGAATGATCAAACTCGGCTTGGGCTTTGATGACGAGGACACGCCGAACGCTGAGGACGATAAGATGGAAACGGAAGTGCCGGCGTTAGAAGGTGACGCTGAAGAGGCGTCGAGGATGGAAGAAGTAGATTAATTATTTCATTAGAACTTATTACAAGAAAAAAATTTTAATACAGTTCTTGATTTCGAACATTATCATTTAATGTGCAGGGGTTAGTGTAGTTAAGTATATACGTATAATGGCTGGTTTATGCTTCGGTCTTAATCTTAATCTTAGTCTTAGTCTTAACTTAATCTTAAGGACTCGTTTATGCTTCCCTGGAAATTCGGACTACGCATGTGCAAATGTAACAAAACCTAACCTAACCTAACCACAAATTGTAATAGATCCCGGTGCTGCAAATTATAGTGAATGTTAAAATGAATCGTCAGCGGCAAAAAACTTTAATGTTTGGAATGGCACTTTTGTTATCAAGTGCCTATGCAGCATGTGTATTATTAAGAAATTAAAAAAAAATAAAAGAAAACCACGGAGATACGCTGTTCGGCCACTGAATCGAAAAAGACACGAAACTGGTCATTTCTTTTCTTTAATGAAAGATATGCTGAATATTGAATACGATCAGGAACAATTTTTTAAATATACACGGATCGAAAACCATTATTTCGCGCGGTTTCGTGCTGCGTCGGACGTCAGATTTACCTCATTGGCCCGGCCTTAGGACATTAGGGACTAAAGTTAAAAGATGGGATCTTTCCAAGATTAAGATTAAGACTAAGATTAAGACTAGGGAAGTATAAACGCCCTTATGGCATTCTACGTTATCAACTCTTAAGATTAAGATTAAGACCGAAGCATAAACCGGCCATAAGTCTATGTATCTTTTTACAATATATGTGATGTTTGTTTGAAAATTTGTCATATTGAATTTTTTCTTGTGTTGATGCGATATTCAGACTGATTCCTTTTCAATGTTGTAGATTTTCCTTTTTTCAATAAAGAGCTTATTTTTTAAACTGGTCTATATTCATGTGCAACAAGTAACTAAGACTTTAGCAGAAATATTGTACAATACAAAATTATATTATAAATAAAACTAAATACTCCACATATCCATATTCAATGGGGGGGAGAGAGAGAGAGAGAAATACCAAGTACTATATTACTATAATAACTTGCAAAACTATAATAAAATTGCGCTCTGAAATTACAAAAGTTACGGCAAGTTAAAAAAAGGAAACTTGTTATTATAAATAGTTTATTTTAATGATAAGAATATTGCAACAAAACATACACACTCTAAATATTTTAAAATCTGTGATAATTTTATACTATGAAATTAACAATATTAATTTTTTTAGCTTGGTACTTACATGTATATACTTAACTATACTAATTTTATTTTACATTCGATAGTATAAATTACATTTTTAAGGTAAAGTGTATTCAATAAGCAAACATAACACAATTACAACAATGTTAAATCAGTGTTTTTCTTTCTTTTTACTTATTAAATACTGTTCTGTAATAAAACAACAACACACGTACAAAGGACCACAGCCGATTAAGCCATTTCTTATTTTCTCTTAATATCCTTGTAACAATTAGTCTTGGTAACACAAGCACTTCTCTCGGATATCGTAGATATTTTAATAAATATATGTAAAATTCATTATTAATATTATAAAATCTGTAATTGCGAGTTTGAATTATCAATTTCCGAGTTGACAATGTCACAAATGACGAATCTTCCCAAAAACATCAATAATATATATATATATATATATATATATATATATATATATACATAGCTGATTATTAACTATCCACATCTTATGTTATCCATAGGAATTTATTTTTACAACTGGAGTACAGAATGTTACGAAATTCTATCGATATAAATTATGAAGCATATATTTACGAATACGAATCGGTAAACACATCAAAAAGAGATTCTGCTGTTTCCGTCGATAGAAGTTTGAAACATTCTATTCATTTCGAGTGAGGCACTTGTAATTTGCTCACCCTTAATGTTTCTGATTAACACTTTTATTGAAATAATCCTGAAAGAATAAAATTCTAATCGTATAAAAAATATTAGATGCACCGCTGAGATAAAATAAAATAAATTGCACTTAAGAAAATAATTTAATAGCGTACAGTTAACATAAAATTTTATAAAAACAATGTGATGATAACGGTAAAGCTTAAAATGTTCATGTATACAATTTTTTCCCTAATGATACCAGAAAATACATTAATTTAAAAAGAACGTTGAACACATTATTACACATTACCAGTGAATGAAAATTAAAAAGCACTGATTTGTTCCAGCCTTAACATACTTTATCTTTCATGTACATAAACATATTTACTTGTATAATTATCGCGTGCTCGTTTTAAATTTTATGTACATACAAATGTCTGTTATCTTTTGCTATCTGTTACCGTTTTGTATAACTGCCATAACTACTATCCTGATACCATAATCATTGAGTTACAGTAATGTGATATATGATGTATATTCAGTAAATGGAATCACTTCGTAAACATAAGATGTAAACTAATATCAGTTCTTAGAAATGAGAAATTTTCGAGCGCGATATGATATGGTGCGGAACCATAAGACGCATCTTTCTGTAAACGCACGCGGTTGTATAATTTCTTTATCTACACATGTAAAATACTTGAAACTAATACAGAATTGTTCGTAGTTGACAAGACGCCGTTCATATAATAGATCCGCTCGTTTAATAGAGATAGCGATTCACCGGGATATCGGTTGCACCGCGACAGCTGCTAGGTGGCGGATTATCATCGTCGGAATTGTTATGCTGCCTCAAAGATCTCGTTGGAAGCTGGCTACGTTGCGATGCTGCTGCTTGACGTCTCAGCTCTTCTATATAATCGGTGGTGTCATTTGCTATCAATTCCTGCAGACGTTTACTAAGAGTGGACAATTCGGGCTTGTCGTCTTCGTAGATTCCGTCGTGAGTTCCCGATTTTACGTAAAACAATATGTAGGGCGTGTCCGGGGGTTTCAAACTCTTGAAATCCTCGAACGTGGTCTGTCGTACGTAATTGTCGTTAAATTTGTACCAATTCTGCTTAGAATCACAGGCGTACGTGAAATAATGTCCGTAATCCATACTGTATCCAGAATGTACAACAGCAGCATATAATTGATACGTCTCGGCTATAGTACACGATATCGCCGATACCGGCAACTGTATGGTATCGTTATATACTACCTTATGTCGAAGTTTCGTCCTTAATCGAGTGTCGAAATCGTATCGGAAGTGTTTTAACGTTAAAACCAAGTGTGCAGGTGCCTGCAGAATTGTGATAATCCTCTGCGCATCGCACAATTTCGTACACTTGTCGCATCGATATTTGTTCTCGCCCGTTAGCTTCTCCGGCGTGAGATAATAATTTATGAGATCCTGAACGGAGACTTCCTGATTCTCTTGTATCTCCTCGGGGAAGCACAATTGCAAGTCGCGAAATTTGTCCGTATTGCGAGAGCTGGTGTCACATTGCGCGCATTGGTAGGTGATTTGACACTCTCCGCCCAGTACCCTATGTACAAGGGATGTATATGTGTTCGTTTCTTCTCCACCAACTGACTGTATACCGCTATCTGTCGAATCCGAGTGAGAATCGCTGAGCCGTTGTCCTAGCTCTTCGCCTATTTGTGAAAACATTCAAGATACTCAAGTCAAATAGAATATATATCATGTAAGATGTAAATATAAACAAATACGGAAAATTTTTTAAAATATATAGCATGTAACCACTTGATTGTATTTAGGCAAAAATTATTACCTCGTGTGAAATCGGCCAATGATTGCGTTTTCCGTTGCAACGCCAAACCTTCTGTCAGATCTTCCTCGGTCGTCCAACGCTTGATGACGCCCTTTGTTGGTTCCATCGACAATGTCATATCATCATCTTGCTTCTCCATTTTACATTTAAGAGTTGCTGCATTATCATTTCCTCCACAGTTTGTATTAGCAGATTTTTCTTGCTCGTGTAAAACATCCAGAAGATGACTGCGTAAGAAAACATGTTTATTAATTGCAATCGACCTATATTGTTTATTTTATTTAAATATATAAAAATGGCAAATCGAAATTTTCTTTAACTATAAAAAAACAACTCGTATAAAGAAAAGTAATATACTAACCAGAGAAATTCCGAGCTGTCCTGCTGCTGTCCGGGAAGAAAATACGTAGGTCTTGATGCTCGTAAAACTTCTGTCGGTGCTAAGCATAATCTCTTGGAGTGCAGTAGTAGTGCAAACAAATTTTGAAGCTTCTCTAATAATGGTGTTTTTCCCGCTTCGTTTGTAGGATGATAATTTAATACTTCTTGGCAGAATTGTCTGGTCATTAATAAAGCTTGGAGTACACTATTCATGTAGCAAGTGTTTCCAAGATTAGAGAGTCCAACTTTTCCGGACAACTGTCTTTCCGGTTCCACAATTGGTTCGAATTCCTTTGTCTCATCTTTCCATATTGGCTCTCTGTAAAGTTCTTTGACAACTTGCATCTGTGGTAACACGGGATAAGGATAATTTTCTGTACTTCCACATGCTGGTATACATGTTGAAAATCTTTTGCTATATACTTTCATAATGTCGACTAAATTCTGTATACATTCTTTACTAGAATCTGAATCTTCCTTCATCAGGTCTCTTATCAATTTTGGTATTCTCTTAACTATATTTTGAACAATTGATGGCGAGCTTTGTCTCTTTAAAATATAAAATATAATGTTGGAAGCATTTTGACGAATTACTGGTACCATCAACACACTGCACATTAATACTAATAAATCTACTGAGGATTCTGTAAGTTCAAGAAGAATCGAGTATTTTTGTTGCTTTTCCAAACCACGTATGAACTCCATTATCCAGACGCTAAGTCGATCTCCATTATATTTTGGAAGCCAGTTGCATAAAACTTTCAAGGCTTGCACTAATTGATGATCAGAATGTGATTGTGACAGAATCCAATCCACTGCCTGTGGAATAACAGAAGAATCCACCAACTGCAGTATGGCAGCGAGTCCTGGGCCTGGTTCTTGTTTTCTGTTTACATCTGATATTATATTGTATAAAGTTTGAAGACAAGTAAATATTACAATGTCACGTTCTCCGTTCTTTGTGTTTGAACATAGCACTTTGAGAAAATTTTGAATCTTGATAGTGTTGTCGTTGAACTCGTGAATTTTTTTCGCCTCGAAGGGCATTTGAAAGGAAGACAAACTTATGACTATCGCCTCGCAGAGTTTCGTATGATTCGCCGATCTTGAAAGGTACACTCTGTTGCTCACCATTGTATCCAGGAGTTCGGTCAAGTGCGACATGTCTTTGATATCGGTATTCCGTAATAATAAAGCGACATCGTTGGAGATTGGACTGACGGAGCGTTTTTCTACTATATACGGTGCCAGCCACGCCATAATTTTCGGCACTTCCGACGTGTTCAACACCTGACTCTTGAGGATGTCCCTTAGCATATCCTCATAATCGATCAGCTGGCCAAATTCTTGACTATCTCGTAGATTGATCAGCATTAACCAACCATCGTTGACGGCAGCGTGGTTTCCCGACACTATCATTTGCAAGCATTGTCTAATATCGTTTTGTAATACGTGTTCAATATCCATTTTAACGGTAAGACACGCTCAAATTTCGTCGTGACTTATCCTATTTTAGAATTAACGATGAGAATTACTCATTAACCTTCAATCAACGATGATTCCCGTGAAAATCAAAATTTCATGATGGCGAAAAAGCGTAAAGGAAAAAAACGAACTTCTGCGCCATAAATTATTTGCTACTCGAGATAGTTATTTGATGGAAAGATGCATCATGCCTTTCATGCAGTTTGACAAGCTAGTTCTTGAAGACTTGCAATTTCCTGCAAAATTTATTATCAGACGGCCAATTAACACACTCGAGGAAACTAGTAAAATATGATGAAACAAAATGGTAGAAGAAACTTTTTATACGTATCTCCAGAAAAGTAAAATATTAATTGGTCAACGCGTAGATCACACCATTATTTCCTAGCATTAATACACCCTTTAGGCCGGCGTCACATAGAACCCGTAATCCGTAATCCGCACCGGAAGTCCGCAAAAGTTACTAGGGATTGCGTCCGTAACGTTACGTGTGTTTTTTCTCCTTGTGTCCCATGGAGCCGTAAATACACACGTAACGGTATTACTATTTTTTATTTAACAGATTATAATTGTTTATTTGTATTTTATTCATAAGAAAACTACAGAATATATTATAATTTTAACAAAAATTTTAATTAAATCGTCAAATTTAGTTAAATAAATAAAATTAAAAAAAGCATTACTAGTAATAACTAGTAACTTTTAGTAACTTTTACGGAAATTTCATGGAATTACGGCTCCATGGGACACAAGGAGATAAAACACACGTAACGTTACGGACGCAATCCCTAGTAACTTTTGCGGACTTTCGGTGCGGATTACGGATTACGGGTTCTATGTGACGCCGGCCTTATGCAGATGCAAGAAACTACTCTCAGTATGAACAATAGTTTAAGTTTTTCTAGGATTACAAGGCTCGATCGTGTTGGCAGCAATGCGAATCGAGTTTCGAGTCGGGAGCTCGTTCGGCATGGAGCGCGAGAGAGCGGCCAAGAATAGCAAAGAGCACGCGAGTCTAGCCGTTCCGTAAATGAGTGCCTGGCGGAGAAGGTGTTGAAGGCGACTGATCGTACGACCGCTCCCTCCGGTAGTCCGTCAAGACAAGACTCGGCGTGATCGACGATAACATTTCGGGACGGGGATACGGCCGCGCGCGCGATTCGCTCTCTCATATATGGAGCAGACTCGCGGGAAACGCCTGTTTCACGTGCCGAATCGCGCGCAGTGAACGCGAGTGTGTATGTATACGTGCGTCGTGCGTGTATATAGTGCAGCCGCCGCCGTCGCCGTGTACGCGAGAAGCGAAGGCAAGATACGAAGGGCGCAGATACGGCGAAGAGCAAAGAAAAGAGAGATAGATAAGATAGTTCGAAGGGGTGGGAGAGAGAGACGGACGAGCAAGCGAGCAAGTGAGTGAATGAGCGAGTGACCGTGTGCGTCGTCGCGGTGCGTCGTCCCGTGCTTTTGCATGTGTGCGCGATCGCGCGTGTGCGCCAAGCGAGAAGAAGGAGAGAAGCCTGTGCGCGCGACAAGCAAAGTGATTATAGGATCTGGCTGTGCTTGCTGCCGGTGCTGCTCCGTCTACCTCGTCGAGCGAAGGAGGAGCGCGTCCGAGCGCTCGAGCGAGCGCCGCGAGCGCGTCGTGCTTTTTTCCGCCGTCCGCCGCCGCCGCCGCCGCCGCCGCCGGGGCAATGTCTCTCGAGACACGTTCGAGCTCGGCCCTGTTCAAGCGTGCCGAACAGCTGAAACGCTGGGAACAGTCCGAGACGAATCGCGAGCCCGCGCAACCGCGCCAAGTTGCACGCAAGATCAAGTTCTCCGCCGACTGCGTGTTCCTGGCGGCGTGCGCGGCCAGCGACAAGGAGGAGGTCGTGCGTTTACTGCAGAAGGGAGCGGACATCAACACCGGAAACGTCGACGGCCTCACCGCGCTACATCAGGTAAGGGTGGTTCGGGAGCGACGCTCCCCGCGAGACGCATCCCGCTGCTTTTGACAGCTTTCAAGCCTCTCGCGGACGCATTCCGTGTTTTCCTTCCAATCTTTCTCTCTTTCTCTCTCTCTTGAGAAACGTAATTCTGCAAGATGGCTGCTACGAACTCCAGCTGTCCAATTTGAGTACTACTCGCGAAGTTTGTCGTGCAATTCGATATATCAGTGAGAGTGTCAATGAGAAGGATTCAGCGAAAGAAACATGTAACGCAACGTATTGGTCTTCGTCCGATTTTATGCTATTGGAAAACAGGTTTCCTTTCAGTTTGAAATACAACCATCACGCTAACCACGAACGGCGTCTGCTCTTAACTGTTAATTACTGTTTACGCGTATTAGCAGAGCCGCTACTTTAGGCAATTGTGTAACAAGGCTACAGGCTTTGTGTAACAAAAATTCTACGCTAATCTTACTATAAATGTTTTGACATATCGAGTCAGCTACTGTAATTAAAAAATTTCCATACAGAGTAAATTAAAAAAAAATTTGTGCTTTTTAAAATTTTTTTGTTCTTTTTTTATATTTAATCTGTAATATTAATGATTTGTTAAATTAGTTTTCGTTTAATTTTGAATTTATATTTTATTTTAAAGTTGATTTTAAGTATGCTATGTGACAATCATTTATTTTGGCACTTAGAATCTCGGGTTTTCCATTAAAGTATTTAAAAATATGATTTACATGTAAGTTACACATTTAAATTTTGTACAAAAATTTTATTGCATTATATTCAGACTTTAAAACTCAAATTGCTCTATTTTGAATGTAAATATCATAAAGAGATGACAAGAATGCTTGATGATATCAATATGAGTTGATAAAATGTAATTGTATATATTTTAAAAATGCATTGAGTTTTTTTTTTTGAAGTACCCATTTATTCAAACACATTTATTAAAAAATCATTCAATCGTGTTAAAGGAGATATATTATTTAGTTCCGAAGAGAATATATTTACTTTTCTACACACAAAAAAATACATACTGTATTTAAGTAAATATTACTTGTTTTAAGTATTTTATAAGTTCATATATCCGCAAATCTATCGTAAGTTCATTATAAGCATCAAATTTATTCAAAATATATTTTGATCCCAGTAAGTTTAATACTTCAATCAAGAATATTAAATTAAAAAAAGAATTCTATTTGCTTATTAAATTAACCAAATCTGACTTTTCTTCGATACAATTTTATAATATTCTTCACCAAAAATAATTACTTCTTTCGAGTATATGATAATGAATTTATCAAAAATTTGTGATGAGTATATTTTAAGACTATTATCAAGAAAATATTCTTTATTAAAGATAATTATTACTTAAAAAAAGAAAAGTAAGCCGAGTAATTACTTTTCTTAGCAATAGAATGATATTTTTCTGTGTGTATATTTAGATTGTGTGATAAGATAGTTACACATCCCTAGGATAAATTTTTAATTCATAAAAGAATGACTAAAATAATTGCTATTAATAAAATTTTTAATCTTTAACTAAATATTATGTGTGTCCATTTATTCAAATTATTTGTTTCATAAATATATATTGTACTTTTTGTATGAAATAGAATATGTGTTAATGACTGAACATTTTTATATTTTTATTGCATGTTGAGCATTGATGTTCATATAATTTCTAATTTATGTTTCAAATGTTGGAGTATAAAATAATTACCGAGTCCAACGTTTTGCTATTATTTTTAAAACTTGATACACATAACTGTTTATGTAATTTATATATATGCTACATTTGATTTTGTTGTCATTAGTTGATTGTATGATTATTATAATTACTTAATTATTAAAAATTTTTACTTATTTTTTATCTATCATGCAATATTTTCTCAGCTAAGTCAATGATCAAATTGTTTTCATATGTAGCTCAAGGTATTAAAAATTAGAAAACTAAAATAAGTCACCGTTATTTCAATATTATAATTTTTATCGTTATACAATAAATTTAACAAAACAAAAAAAAATTAAATTATGGCAAAACTCAATTGTAATAAAAAATGTAAGTTAATAATATAAATCTTACTATTTTATTTGTCACATAATTTTATTAATTTTATTTTGCCATAAAAGAAAATTAATTTTCTTTGCTAATTTTGAAAGAATTTGTAGTTTTTATGTGATTCGAGACACATTGTATAAAGTCATTTCCTTGCCACACTGGCAATGATTTTTTTGCGAGTAGTAAGCTTTTATGAGCAACCTATTTCTGGGTGTTTCTGAAAGCTGGCGTAACTGGGCAATCCGGGATACCTTGCATATACATGCCGTAACGGTTATTACAGTATCTAAATAATTAATGAGGATAATGCGTAATAAAAAGACTGATCAGTATATAAAAATTTCTGATTTCGGAAAGAGAATAATTATATCGCTATCGAGCCAATGAAAAATAATTAATACATAATTAATTTAAATAAACAAATTTTGCACACCGTATTAATAATTAATAATTAATAATTAATAATTATAAGAATTTTCTAAAATGTAGTTGATTGTAAAATTGTAAAGTAATTATAAAAGAAATTAGAAATAGTATTTCATACAGCATGCATATTAATTAATTTTTTAATTAATTTTTAATGTATATTTGAGAGTTGAATTAATTAACAATCATAATAATGTTAAAATAAACCTTGGGAAAGCTTGAGAAAATATAGTTCAATCTAATCGTACATAAGCGTAAAAATATTTGTGATAGTAATAGTGACACAGAGTTATATCCAAGCCTTATTAGATAGAATAACATTTTCCATAACGTGAAACGATATTTATGGCTGTTATTTAAGTGAGGAGGAAGTTAAGGCATTTCATGGATTTGCGAAAATAGAATGTGAAAATACATCAGGCATCAAATGCTATTTATAGCTCTCTGTTAGAAGTCACAGGCTGCAGCATCTGTGTTCAGTTTAAATTCTCTATGTCTAGCAATGTTGTAATATGTAGCCAATTTTTTTTCACTCCGGTAATATCAAAGTCGCATCTTATATGTATTAATGTATAAAATTCGTGTGAAAAATTACTCGCGTTTAATTCTTTTTCTGCATACTATCAAAAGTTTATTAATTCTTGATTAATTTAGCTATTAGATTAAGTATTAGCGAAGATTATAATTAAACTACAAGCATATTTTTATTTCTATATTTTATTATTTTATATTTAGTAATAATTTAGGAATTAATCTCCAAAATCATTTTATTAATTTTATTAAAATTTACCATGTATGTTTTGCAACAAAATGTCATATGATATATTAGGTAGAAATGCTATTTGCAATTAAGATGAAAAATAATAATGGGAGCCGAAGCTCTAACAGCCCATTTATAACGTCGATTCAAACCTTGGATTGCGACCAGACTGAGCAAAATTGGTGGTCTCGATGCCGAGACCTCGAAATACATCTTGCCAATCGCGCACGCTTTTCATCCCTCACGTTCGACTCAATACTCACGCGTATTAATGTAATACCATATTTGTGTTATATTGACATGATATCGCAATCGCTATGCGATAGGCCTGCATTGATGATGACCTCGACATGGTGGAATTTTTGGTGGAACAAGGAGCGGATATCAATCGTGGAGATAATGAAGGCTGGACGCCCTTACACGCTACAGCGTCTTGTGGATTTATATCTATTGCCAAGTTCGTACAATTTTTTTTTTTAATACAATAGAACGATATTTCTTTACATTTTGTAAAGATGTGGAAAATGTCAATTACGTTTACTACATTCGTTTCAATAAAAGAAAAAAATGTGCATTGCAGATACTTAATAGAACAAGGATGTAATCTAGCAGCAGTTAACAATGATGGCGAACTGGCGCTGGATATTGCAGAAAGCGACGAGATGGAAGACATGCTCCAACAGCATATAAATAAAGCAGGTTTGTATTTATATGTACATCTGCAGGATGTCCGAGGTCTATTGCGTAAAACTTTTAATTATAGACTTCCAAGGAAAATTGAAGTTGCAAATTTCAGTGCTAGAATATTTGAATAATTTTTGTTTTGCAATTTAATTGTATATCGCAAAAATTACCGTTTTCTCATCATTTCCTAATTCAGATTATTTATAAAGTTTTTAGATATAGACGTAAGCTATGCGTAGATATTGCACATCTAAGATGCAAACACATTGCACATCTAAGATGCAACACACTTGAGACTCAACATTCAGCTAAAAGTCTGAGCGCTCAGATACAGCAAATTGCATATTGGCAAGGATGTTCTCTTTCATTGACCCCTTTTCGTAATGTTGATATAATTTTACATACAATGCGGCACTAAAATAGTTTCTTAAATTATGTCTACTTACACGCGAAATACATCTTGCACGTAGAGATATTAGTTACATAGAAACATTCTATAATATTAATAGAAGCATTTCTTTATAAAATTAAGTTAAATTTGTTGCTAAAGTCGAGTTTAAATATATTTACAAAGTATTAGATTACGTATTAAAAAATGTAATGCTAAGTACGAATTGTATAATAAATTTAATTTTTATAGGCATCGATTGCGATCAAGCCAGAAGTGAAGAAGAGCGATTAATGCTGAACGATGCGAAGGCTTGGCGGTCAGGTGGATCTGGCAAGGATTCCTTGCATCCTAGATCAGGAGCCACTGCTCTCCATGTCGCTGCTGCGAAAGGCTACATCAAAGTCATGCAGTAAGTTAACATTTAAATAACAATTATCCAATGCGTTGTATTAATGAAAATAACGAATAACCGAGAATATTGTATCTCTTGCATTAAACACATAACTTGCATTCAAATCTGAGAATTGTTTAAAAAATATATTTGTCGGATAAAATAAGTGAAGATTTGAAGTTAGTTTTTTACATTGAACTTTTTTAATACTTTTGTGCAGCATATTACTACAAGCTCGATGCAATGTTGATGCACAGGACTTTGATGGATGGACGCCTTTGCACGGTGCGGCACATTGGGGTCAACTTGAAGCTTGCAAACTTCTTGTTGAGAACGGCTGTGATATGGATATAAAAAATTATGCCGTAAGGGAATAAGCATTTATAATAATCATACAGCATAGGTTATATCTAGACTGGTTTAATCTAGACCGACCTCGGACTGATCCAAGTTTATTCTAGGTTGGCTCCAGATTAGTTCCGTTTGAGTCTGAGCTACGTAAACAAATATAATTTTAATATATTTCTCTTACCAGTATTTTGCTTTTAGGGCCAAACTGCTTTTGACGTTGCTGACGCAGACATCCTCAAGGCTCTTGAAGGTTTAAGAGAGCAACAAGCACTTATACTGAAAGATAACCCACAAACGAACAATAAGAAACAGTCGTCTATACCAAAGAAACGGTACGTGACAATATGATCTTAACACGATGGAATAATAATGTGAGAATAATGTTTTTAAATGTACTTCTATATGTTACAGCGTCTCAAGTGCCGATAGTGCAATAGCGACACAAGAATCTGCGGAGATCTTTGAAGAAGAAACGCCAAATAAAGTTAAAAAGGTTGAATTAGAGATTCAATCTGATAAAGAAGATTCCAGCGCTAGTACAAACAGTGATGTTGGTAAGTTCTCATCTGCATTATAATAATTTCTAGAATACGATCTAATCCGCACGTTCGCGTTTTTCTTTTTCCTTTTTTTTTTTTTTTCCTAAAAGTGATTACATTAATAACTATCTACTCTGCAACTTCCATGTTTATTTTTTTATGTGAAGAATAGGAAAAGAGAATAGTTATGTTTCGCAAATTATTTCCTCACAAATTTATATCCTATTGTTCAGTTTTGCGAATCTGATTTATGTTACTGTTAACTGTAATCTGTATTTCTTATAACATTGCTGCATGGACAGAAGCAACACGTGAAACACACATGGAAGAGAGTGATGGTGAAGGTGAATCTGAGACTAGCTCAGAATCACACTCTTCCACTTTCTCCAATCAATCTGATAAGTCTAACCACGCGACATGTCTTACAGATGACGGTAAGTTTGATCTGTAAGACTGTTCTCTTTATCACTTTTTTTATAACAAATTATTGCATGTGTTATATTAAAGTTTTGAATAAAACTTACTGGATTGGTTATTGCTTTAGAGAGATAGATTTTAAATCCTCTTTTTCCTTATTATAATTTGCAGCATAGTAATTTTTTATCGATTATTTTGCAGAAAAGAAAAATAGAGTAAACAAAGATGAAAATGCACCCCATAGTCCAATATCTCCAGTTGAAACCAATAAAGTTCCTAATCAGGTAAGGTGTCAATTTTCACAGCGAATGATTTTAATGCTTTTTGCGTATTTCATTAATTTTTGCTTTTTTTCAAGGCTCCAATATTGCCTCCAAAACAACAGACTGATAGTAACGAGGAAGGTGTTGTACCATCGTGGAGACGTTCTGGTTCCTTTCGAAATAGAATGCAAAATACTGAAACTACTAATTCTGCACCTACAAGTACGTTCACCAAATGTTTTGATTAAATTTTTCACCGCTTCTAAATTGAATCTTTAATAAATACTCATACTTGTATTACTTCAGAGCTCGAAGACAAGGATAATAATATGAAGATACCAACAACACCAAACAAAGTTAGCGGGGAGCCTGATGTGGTATTGAGAAGAACGCATAGCTTCGAGACGGACAAAAAGTAAGTTTAATTCAGTCCCAGCTTCGTGTATCGTATCATTTTTCGTTTTACATGTTACAAATCAATAGCTTTATATTTTTGTAGTAATATTATTTTTTTCCCGTTTTTTTTTCTTTTTTATTCGCTAATAATCGGCAAGATACTTAACGCTATTAACAGCGGTGCTACGTTCTCCAACCAAGATACTGTATATTGTGCGCATATTCCACGTGTTTGCATTAATTGTGAATTTTAGTATTTATAACGTTTGCCCCTATACCGTCATTGATAACTAGTGTAGAGATATGCATGGCACGGTAATGCATGTGATGCAGGTTTTATGAGCAGTACATGGCATTACATGCTCGCATCAAGGCGTTGTCGTGCCCTACCCTTCATCACTGCAATGCAGCTACTCCTACTCACGCCAATGCTACGACTCGCTCTGCATCTCTACGCGAAACGCACAGGTATATTCCGCATGCCTTTAATCACGACGTTACAGTTTTTATTTGGACGATACGAACTACAATTGTGTGATAATATTTGTAGTTAATGCTATTCAATTCACTCGATATGACCATTGTGTACAAGAGAGATGTGATATCAATATTTTTTTGTACATTCTGTATGGAATGGGCTTTCCATGTGGCTTTCGCTGTTTATCATCTTAGCTTGAAACCTGAAGATGCTTGAATTTAAACTAGATAATAGCACTAATCAGATTAAATCAGTTATTAAATCTTAACCATTTCTAAACAAATTATTCACAAAAATTTATGTATATATTTAAGCAATTGTTTTCTTCAATATTACACTTAATCTTTTCATGATTGACATAAATAAATGATTCAGAAAAGATAGAAACTTATAAAATCTTTATAATATTTGTGTTTTCTTCCAATATATTTTAAAACATATAATCAAAGTATTTGAAAATTTTTATGAAGTACAAGAATTATTTAAATCTTAGTCAATAAATATAAAGATGTTCTTAATGCTTCCAAATTTTACTCCTTTCTCAAAAGTAGTACAATATTGGAAAAAAAAATTTCCTAATCAAAATTATATAATTGCTATATATATATACAAGCCATTATATCACACTAATATTATGGCAGTATCTGCCATTGAACTATATATCACGGATCACGGATCACTTTACATTATTTCTTTTTAATTATTTATTTTATTCTTACTTTAGAAAGAAAGACGTGAAATTAAATTTGGAATTATCAAGACTGCCACAAGGAAGTAATACACTTTCACCAACATCTGTATCTAAAACATTGGCATCGAGTCTATTGTCATCCATCACAACAACTACCACTGCCACCACAACAACAAGTCCTATTCCAGTCAATCAAATTCGCAGGTAAATCAATTTTTTATATTTGAAATACTACTAAATATGTTTCTAAATTTAAATATATTTCAAATTCTCTCTAAAAAACGATGTCTACTCTAAAAAAGAAACGATTAATCTACTTTACAAAAAGTTGAAAGTGGATTGCAGTATTTCACTGTTTAGTGAAATGTATAAAAAGCATTGTTCGTAAAATTTATTTATTTCCATCTTTTTCATCCATTATCTTTTCTTTTTTCATGAAAATTGAATTATTTTTTTGCAGTATATTCACGGCTATATATACTTGTTTAACTTCAATTTTTTTATATCAGTAAATAATTCTATCTTTCTCCTGTGCTCGAAATAGTTTTTACTTTGATATAAACGTATTTCCATGATCTTGAACACTTATTTACAACAACAGAATACATTATTACATGCACATAATTGACATTATATTCACGTTTTGTATTGTGCATCATAATATTAATAATGGCTGGGTAGTGTTCAACCAGTGGAAGCTGCATCTACAGTTGTATCGAATACAAATAATGCAGTAGCAACTGCTCCTGCAACTCCCACTACACCAGGAGGGAGCAAGCTTAGTCCAGGAAATATCTTCAAGAATTTCTTCAAGTGGGTACTCACTGCTCGGAAGATCCTCCTGAAATATTGTGATTTTTGCACATTCTCAAAATGTTTACGTATAACTTACGTTAATTTGCTGGCAGTAGCATGAAAGTTTGCTTTTTGCAGTGTGATTATTTTTTTTGTATTTGCGTATTAATTGTTCCACATTTGAATTTATTCGATAGTTATCTTATTCACACATGTGACTACACATTTGAATTCAGCAGTTACTTAAATACCACATGAGCATAGTTGACAAATGGACACACTGCCACAAATAAATGCACTTTATACAGTTTGCATTATTAAATATGTCATTTTATAAATGTGATGTGATACATATAATATGGTTTGATCCACCACAACAAAGATTTATTGATATTCTGTGAAAATTATTAATTAGAATAACTTTTTATCGATGTGATGCATTATACACTTTTACACCCTTCGATTTTGCAATCAAAGAATTCATAGGGCGTTTTAGGAAAGAAGTTTATGAAATAATTGTATCAAAAATATATCTGATATAATGAGAATATTAATTATGTTTTACAGAGATACGTATATTTTTGCTATTTTACGTGAAATTTTTTTTATATTGCTTACAGATTGTGTTGAATATAATGCTTACTAAAAGTTTTTTTTTTTTTATTGCACAGATAAATCAACTTGAAAATATTTTATATCTTTTGCTGCAACTCGTGAGCTGACATTTTTCTATCTCGTATGTTATATATATGTGTACAGATCCTTTGTTCCACCGGTACGTGATGAAGAAAGCGAAACCCAAAGGAAAGCTCACGCAAAGAGAGTGAGAGAAACCAGAAGGTCCACCCAAGGTGTGACATTGGACGAAATCAAGAGCGCGGAACAATTAGTGAAGAAAAAGCAACAGAACAACGAGTCATCGGCATTAACGCCGTCTACGCAGGTAGAATTAAAGTTCATATCAATGCTGTTATCGCTCGAAGTTGCCTTATCGTTTGATTAAAGAAGTGACTAATTGTCTGCGACAAATTGACCGAAAGAACTCTTTTTCAAGTGGTATAACGATATTAAAAATACGTTTTTCTCTTAGTGTAATAACATTAATAGTGAACATTAAAGCGTAGTGTGGTATTACTGATTAAATAATAACAAATGTCATGATGACCTATAATTGAGTTAGATGGCTTCCATGAAGTACCTATGTTGCCTAAAATTGAAAGTATATTTTATTTTTTATTATATTTGTACAAGAAATGGTGCAATGTGATTAAAATCGAAAAGTTAAAATCGAAATCGTAGTGATTTATTCATATTTTTTTTTATATAATTCAGCCTACAACTACTGTCAGCAATACCGCTTCGATCACAGCTACGATAACAACCGCAACCTCCACTACCGTGACTACTCCGAATAAAGTCTCTGAAGAGCCTAATTTGCCTGAGAGACGACCGTCTTGGAGGTTGAGGGTAGACAATGGAAGCAAGGTCTGTGCGCTTACAAAATCATTATTTATCTGTCGTTAAGCCGCGATTGTTCACGGTTATTTATATGGTTGGTGCCGCAATGTGTTCGAAGATATGGCGAGGTTTAATCGACGGTGGAAGGTGCACCGGGAACGTCATCATAAACCACGATTTATAATAATACCGTAATTTGCTATATAGTTTCAGTTGGAGGATGCTAATAATAAGCCTAGTGATAACACATCGGCCTACATGAGAAGACCATCTGGTGGAACTGGTATACCTAGACCGTTATCTGCACCAGTGGAGACTATTGCCACGAGCAGTACAGAAACCACAATTACCTTACCGCTTAGGAGATCGTTAAAGCAACCTGATGACAAAGGTGAGGATCTATAAAATAATGCAGCATGAATAAAGATATTTTTTTAAATAAATTTGACAGAATTTTTAAATTACTTTGCACGACGATTTAATTTAAATAAATTAAAATTTGAAAACTCTGAATTATTACGTATGTTACAGAACAAGATAAGGAAAATGATAGTAGGAACGCACAAGCTACGCAAGCAGTTATTCAAAGGAGGCGTCGGCCTAAGAGAAGATCGACTGGTGTAGTCCATGTGGATATGGATGTTAGTAACGATTTTATGATAAATTTATCCAAAAAGTTACATTGTTTGCTTGATAAATATTGTAGTTAATATTATACGAAGAAATCAAAGGTTATACATCGAAAAAAATAACATGATGAGAGGAAATTGAATTTAATTATAAAATTATTCTATAGAAATTAAATGTATATTTAAAAATATCTAAAATCTTATTTTATCTTTTACAGGAAATTGACCCAGAGAAACAAGACGTAACTGCTGGCGGTGACTGTGATGATTCCAAGGTCAATCACAATGAGGTAAGTAATTCAATGTTTTTAGTTTAGAATGTTTTAATTGTTATACGCTGTTTCAAGTATTAACAGGTTATGTCTTGTTAAAAATATAGCACCACTTCAAACTAAAGTTATTGAGTTTAAAGTAATAGATTGCACATACGCGAACGATAAATACTAGTTGCTGTGTGATGGACACTGTCGCTGATCCAAAATATATTGTTCCTCTGTTTTTATCGGTCTTCGATTTACAAAATCTTTTGGACGCCCAGGCGTCTGTCGATTTACGAGTCTCTTGCCACGGATTTACCAGACATGTGCCAAAAATTCAAAATTGGGTAACGCGCAGTTAAATGACGTAGAAGCAAATACAACGTTCGTAAACCGGGGAGGGTATACGATGAGACATCGTCTGATTTTGGCCTCAGTATTGATAGGCTTCCGTTTTACGGAGCTCGTATTGTTAGACGGGTCGAGGTGAAGCGATTACGTGATACTTTGAAATGCAAAAGGATGCAAATATATCGTAAAATGAAAGCTTTCGTAACGATTGCAGAAATATTTCTTAGCCAGCCTCTGGAGACCCATTTATAAAGCTCCAACGTAACTTTTTCATTCAAGCATCGCTTTCGTAAGCTACGGGAGCTTAAGATTATTTTTAGCTTCTTGGAAGAATAATCTCTTTCGTGTATACTCGATAAAAATAGCACGACATTCTGTCACCTACCTTCGGAAGATACGATATTCGATATAAAAATATGGAGAGAAACAATCGTGACTGACGTCAACGCATAATTCTTTCGCTTAATCTCCAAATAAATATTTCTATTTTTTCACATAAAATTATCGACATTTAACAGGGATAACGGGATTTAAATTGTACCGGGAAGCTTAATTGATAATTGAAGCAAAAAAAGATGATCGTGAACATAGCTTAATCGTGTCTAAAATTGTTCCATCAGCGCGTTCGAAATACAATGTGACGCTTTGACATTTAGAATCGTACACATACCGTTTATTTACTGCTCGTGAACATCACTAAAACGTTTCAGTCTTTTATAAATTGACAATAGACAGATTGCTGAACACATTTGTCAACATAAATTTTGCGCGAGATGTTACCTAATATTGTAAAATTTAATCACATTATTATTTTGAGACACTCGAACGAATTGTCAATATAAATTTGAGATTTTATGTCATTTTATCATCAATATAATATATAATTTACGAATCAACTCGTCTGTATATGTTATTTTAAGCTGCCCCACATGTTAAAAATTAAAACTGTGTTACAAACTGCATTTATTCTCTGAAACACACAACCTTGATATTTGTGTGCGTCTCTGCGTGCATTCCAAAAATAGTACATAGTAGTAATGCTTTAAAGCAAACTGCCTGATGTCTTGGGTTCCCCTGCCCAGTCTTCGTCAGTCCATCACTTGCTATCCGCGGCTCTGGATATATGCGCTTTGCACTGGTAAACGAAAAGCGCTTACGCTTACGGTAGACCGTGATAAAACTTTTTGCAGCCGTTGGCACGAGTGAAACTCAGTGAGTTTTGTAAAAAAAAAAAGTTGCTGATGCGCTTTAGTGGCTCGTAATAACGCACGTGACGCAAACCATGTCTTCGTACAGAAAGGGAGCGCAGAGTAAGCCAACAACAGCTGCGGGTTTGAGAGCTCAGGCGTCAACAAATGGGCAATCAATTTATGGAAACAGGTCACGGATCGGCGGATTGCTTTCGTTAAATCAGAATAATTTAACGTATAACACAGGTCTACTGGGCGTGAAAAAGAGTCCAAATTTGTATTCCGGGTCCAGTTTCTTGAATAAAAGCACGAAAAACAGCGATTTGTATCGAACCAGTCCGTACACGAAATCTACGACAAACAATTCGAATTATCCAAATCTTTATACGTCGTACGGTGGAACGGCAACGGGATACGGCGGTGTGACTTTGCTTTCTCACACAACTGTCAGTCCTTTGAACCTGAGTTCATCTCCCAGTTACAACTATTTAAACTTAAATATAAACTCTCGCCCACATGTGCAAAAGACCGAGAGTTTTAGCAGATCCAAAATAAAACCAAGTCTTAGTATCAGATCGAGAAGTTCCAGTCTGCAAAGTTTAACTAGTTCTGAGGGATACGCTGTAAGCAATTTCTCGACTTTTGTCCTAAATTTATACCCGAATATTTAATTCAAGTTTCCCAAATTTTGGGACATTTTTTTATCGGCGCTTTGTTAAATTTTTATAAAATTTTTTATTAATATTAAAGCATTTTCAAATTAATACTGAAACAATCGATATTATAGAATCTGTATAGAATTTTTCTTAAACATTAATAGGAATGGCAATGATACATTTTAATAAAAAAAAAAAATTAATGATTAATTTATTATTTGTTTCAGAGTGGAAACGATCGTTCCGGAAGAGCTAATAGATTAGGTTCGATATCTTCGTTATCATCAGAAGCATCATCAACACCAATCAGACTAAAATCTACGAGTTCCGAAAACGGCGAATTAGACTATAAGAAATTATACGAAGAATCTCAGGCCGACAATGAAAGGTTAAAGGAGAAATTGAAGCGCTCTGACGAACAATTAAAGGATGTGAGAAGTTTATTGGAGAAAGCGCAAAGCAACCAAAACAAAGTGTTTCTCTCTGAGGCGGAAAAGAGGGAGAGGCGAGCGATGGAAAGGAAACTTTCAGAAATGGAAGAAGAATTAAAGGTAAGCTCAGATTTCATATATTTCCTTCGGTGTAAGCAATTTTTTATTTATCTGAAAGCAAAATGGAGTAAGTGCTTTCATATGTTGAATTGAAATAATGAGAAAATTGGACGCAATTGTCTGTGATTTTATGTGTACACGTATCAGTATATCTCTGTATACTCACAATTTTAGATTTTTTTAGTTAGTACACACCGTCATCTCTTTTTGTTGTGTTGCTGCGACTGCTAGCGGCAAGAAAGCGATGATTATTTTTGTACGAAGATCCGACTGCTTCGATGCATTTATTTTATATGCTTTTTCTTACCTGCCAATTTTACGGCGCTTTACTCTCTTTCTTTATTCTTCATTTAGATTGATTTTTCACCGAGAAACGATATTTTCATTTTGGCCCGTTTATATTTTCCCCTGATTTCTGCTTTTCAGAATTCTTAATATAGTTTTAGCGGGAAATCGTGCGCCGTGATTTTGCGCGTCTGTTGAGAAAACCGCGAATTAGTTATATGTTTTTTTGTGGCTATTTTGGGACTAGCAGAAAAACAGTGGCGGGAGTTTTAGGCTAATCGTTTAACTGTTTACAGCAATTGCAAAAACTCAAAGCTGAAAATGAGAGATTGAAAGCCGAAAATCGGGCACTTACCCGCGTCGTATCCAAACTCACCAATACTAAATAGGTAAAGGACACAATGACAGCATCTGCGTTAACGATAGACATCGTATCTCACGTACAGCATTAATTAATTAATTATTTAATCGAATGATTAATTACAATTTTGTGTTCTGACCGCCAATATTAAAACTGAAACGATACTACTCATCTACTTATCGTACAATTCAGCTTTGCAAAGTGTATTTTAATGTTAAACGCGATCGTTATTTTTTTTTTTTTTTTTTTTTTTTTTTAATTAAATGATTATATCAGTTTACTTTTATAAAGAATCAGTCCTACTGATAATACAATATGTCTTACAATCAATATTATGCGATCGCATATCTTCTTGTGTGATACTAATTGCATTTTTATCTCTGCAATGTACGTCCACGCGATTCTTATGCATAATGTTAGTTGCGTATATAACTTTATATACGTATGTCATTGTTCAAAATTATTTAAAAAAAGAAAAAGAAACGTGACAAATTATAATAAATTATCGCGGCTGATTGTGTGATGCATGCTACAAACAAATCATCATTTACTAAAAAATACATTTCATGAATTTTAACAAGAAACAGAAGAACGCAGTCTGTCATTCATAAGATGCATAGGAATGAACATAGATTTCACAATTTTAACTTTAGGAAACTTTCCTCTATATGTAAAACCATCATTCGACGTGCAGCATAACATCTGTAAACTGAATGCCAATCACCAAGCATCGATAATTAATCATCTTTAGCACGTATTCCATATGAGAGGCAATACCATAACTTTGCAGCTGATTATTCTTTTTAGTTCACTCATCTTAATTGTGTGAAACTGTATTCAATTCCCGAAACATGTTCAACTGTTAAAATCAACACCTACTACACTCTATTAACTTTAGATCTTTACCCATCTTTCTCGGAAAGCATGTTAAATGTTAAATTGTTGCATTTTTTATTGCACCTTATTTATTGACATAGATCTACTTTTCAAAACGGTCAATCCGGTGAGATTGACATTAATCCCTCTTTAACTTTTGTATATTTATCATCACTCCATGTATGTGTGCACTAGAAAGTTTTCGTAATTAAATATTATTTTGTAGCGTTCCGAAAGTGTTCAATAAGAAAGAATGTGGTAAATGGCTATGATATTAGTTACAACACTGGTAACATAACTTGAAATTACTTCTTGTATCTGTGAAATGCCCTTGAAATTTGGAGTCCAATTATCGATTAATTAAGGCTATCTACATATCTTCTAAACTTTTAAATTTAATTACTTGATAATTAAGCCTTCTTTAGATTAAATATATATATATATATAAGGATAAATTTGTATTTGTTCCAAGCAAATACAAATTGTACTGTAAGATATCTATCTATGTAAGATTTACTATTTTTAAGTTCAAATGTTGGATCTCTATAATCTATCTATCAATAATTTATTCAAGATATTTATTTGGATTAATGCAATATTGATTAGATGTAAACGGTTGCTATAAAGAATACAAATTGTGTACAAATGCAATAATACTTGAAAAAAAAAAGAAAAAAAATAAAGTTTATGATTCTAGCACTATGCGTGATACAAAGATCATAAATCTGATGAAACGCTTTTGCCATTCACGATTATTTCTCAGTTCTTTTTCAATATTTGAACATCTATTAATTTCTACTAGAATACAATACCCAAATATTTTAACGACTTTTGGTTGCAGTAATACTTGTGAGTGCCTCTTTCCATTTATCTTTCTGCTATTTTGTGAGCACTTATATTTATTCCGTCTATAACGGCATTATTTCTTTGTACTCCTCTATATAATGTTACGTTTCTTAGTTAGTGCATAAGAATTAGTGTAATATCTTTTTCTTCTAGGTGATGGACCAACTAAAATGCGAAAATCAGAGGCTAAAAGATGAAAATGGTGCCTTGATCAGAGTAATCAGCAAATTGTCCAAATAAATCTTGTAGTCTCAACTGCACATCGCAATGAAATTTTAAGTTGTATTACAACTCTGTTGAATGAATTGCTTTAATTATAGCAGCATCATCATTATCGCTAGTATTCTTATAAATGCGCATCATGCTATCGATGAATTTATCCTTGTGCTAGTAATTTAACTTATTCCGATATAAAATGATGAGATCAATTAATCGCATGGCTGTGCCAAAGGCGAAAAGAGAGATGTTACTCCTATTTCTAGACTGTGAATACTTGATCGTAAAAGACTTAGAGGAATTTTACTTTGTGGAATTTACTTTTTAACGTCCTAGAAAGATGAATTTTATAATCCAGTATATATATAAAAAAACCAAGTCAATGCTTTATAGTAAAAAAAAAATGTTGAGGTTTACTTTATTCGACTATTAGGAGAAAGAAGAAACTGTTAATCTTTACGGACAGTTTTTCTTTTTTAACAAATCACGTTATTAATGTTGATTCTTTATAAGGATATTTTGTAAATACATAATAGCCAATGGTGATGTGGCATTTTAGTAATCGAGAGTTTTTAATCGCGGGGCAAGTTTCTGAAATACTTTGCATACAAACAAATCTATAGGGAATTGTAAATGAATTTGTTCGTATTACCGAAGCAATAAATGATATATGTGTTGTGCTTGATTAAATTGTGCAGGTGGTAAAGAAGGATGGAGAGTCAAAAAACATGACCTTTAAATGCTACTCAAGTGGCCTTTCTCTGAAGACTGCAATTTTTAAATCCTTCCATCATTGCCATTTTTGCAGTATAGGCAGAAATTTGACGTATATATGGGAGTAAATGTTTTTACTTACTCTGTAATAATACATTTTCTTACATAATATCACAGATGATATGTAAAATATACTTTTAGACACACCGGGATTTTCAATCTCCTTAAAGTGCTAAAATTATTGTATGTTAGAGCTGTGGATGTAACTTCAGTTCGAACTGTTCATGTGGTAGAATCTGTGTTATTATTTTTAACTGTCTGTCCAATATAAAATGCTGTTACCTATTATTTTCTTATAGCAACATCAATAATGATTGTCCAATAAGCTCGGATAAAGATAAATTTATAAATATTGCATAATGGAATGTGTAATTGACAGTTGGCATGTTTTTTAATGATATTATTGTAAACAATTGTAAAAAAGGATGACTCAATGTAGTTATTTCGTAATGAAGTTTATTAGAAAATAATATACTTGTGTAAATATTTAATATATAGACTTATATGGACCTTATTTTTATTATTTTATTAGTATAAGCTATATTAACATTCTACACATGTATGCATATATAACATATTTTTTTAATATTTAGGAATATCGTTAATAATAGATTGATCAATCACATTATTATATATATATATATATACTTACTGAAAGGTAAGTAATTAATAAAACTGCTTTTTACATTTAAATATTTTATTGCCTCGAATATCGTTAAAATATATTTACAATTTATTTTATTATAAAACTGATTCTATAGATATATTACATGTCTCAAATTTCCACTCATTTCAGTAATCTTTCCATGATTTTTGCAACAGCAGTCATATCTGCACGCTTTTCCGTAATATTTGTTATTTGTCCTAATAGCGCATTAAATAATTTTTTCTTGCCTTTTTTATATCCTGATACGATTTTTGGATTTTGCTCAATAATTTCTAAACATATCTGTTCTAGTTGTTTCTCGTCTGATATTAAGAACCAATTGTGTTCTTCAATAATCTGTATAATGAACAAAGATAATTGCAATATAAAAAAAATTCAAATTTTACATGTAGCAAATCATTTATAAAAAAAGATAAGATCTTACCTCTCTCGGAAGTTTCTTTTGATCAACTGTTAATTCGTCCAACACTTTCTTCGCTATTATTAAATTAACTAATTTATCTTGTAACAAGTCAATCAATTGACCAATGTAATCTTTATGCGATATGCTAAGAATTTGTTATATAGATTAGTATTCTTCGATTCAAAAATATTATCTTATTTAGATAAAAAGAGAAATCTTACCAGAATTCAATCGTGAGTTTGTTTTTATGAACAAAAGTTAGTACTTCCATAACGAGGAACTTAGCGACCGATTGCGGTTCACGATTTTCATCTTTTATTATTTCATTAAATAATTGTAATAATTCAAAGTCGCTCTAAAAGATGCGGCATATTAGAAATATCCTTCATATTTGTTTAAGTATACATTTCGACTTACCATTAAAGAAATAATTATTTCAGGAGATATTTTGAGAACGTCCTTTAATTTCTGGCGTATTTGTTCTGGTAATTCGGGTAGTTGTCTTCTCAATATCACGGCATCGACTAAATTATCTTTATTTGGTAGATCTTCTCTGACATGTATACGTAAAGGTGGCAAGTTTGTCTCAGGCATAAATCGGTAATCCTGAAAGTAAATTATTTTTTGTAGCAGATTCAATAACGCGATAATCTGTTAAGAACGACATGAAATTGAGAAATTAGATTACTTCCTTATCTTCTTTCTCACGCATAGGAATGGTTTTCTTTTTTATTGCATTCCAAGCGCGAGTCTCGTTAAATATCTCACCACCAGCCTCGAGAATAGAAATGTGTCTATTTATTTCATATTTAACAGCCGCAGCGACAGCACGCACGCTTCCAATATTTTTTATTTCAGTTCTAACACCGAGACTGTCTTCTTGACTGCTTACAGAAACATTGGCATCAACACGAAGTGCTCCTTCTGTAATTTAAAACGTGACATAGTAGAGTTGTACGAGTAATAATTCGGGAGCAAAATAGTTTTTGTAAAATGACCTTCCATCTTGCAACTACAGACGCCTAGTAATTGTAATGTAAATGCAAGCTCCTTCACAAGCGCAGCTGCTTCTTCACCATCGACCAAATCTGGCTCAAATACAAACTCCATCAATGGTATTCCAGCACGATTGAGATCAATCAAGCTTCTGTAAGAGTGTTGAGTCAAGAAGTTAATTAGAATAACACTTCAGTTTTTATCAGTTTCTGACTAGAGCTAAAATTAATGATACCTCGCCAGATTTTCGTCATGTAAACTTTTGCCACTGTCTTGTTCCAACTGAATCTGCTTGATTTTAGAAGATTTTAAGTATGGTGTTTTGTGCACTCCTGGAGTAAATACATGAAACTTAATTTCACCATTGATTGCAATAGGTTGTCCTTGTTGGGTAATTTGAAATCCTGCCTAAACAATTGATAATTAATGAAGATGACAATGTAAAACATATTAAGACCATCTTATGATATTCTTGTTATTCACAGGCAAATCTGGATAGAAGTAGTGTTTCCTTTCGAACAAAGAAGTCTCGTTCAATTGGCAAGATAGTGCTAAAGCTGACAAAACGGCCGATTCCACGCTTCTTCTGTTTAATACCTATAACATATCCATATCTACAACAGTAATATTTGTTACTATTTGCATGTTTAACCAGTTATTAATAACTTACAGGCAACGTTCCTGGAGTGGCACAATCGAAGAATGAGACACATGAATTAATTCGATTGGCAAAGTTAGTAGATGCGCTGGAAAATAATTTTGATTTTGTTGCAATCTGAGCATGAATTTCCAAACCGACGATGGACTTCCACTTTTCCCTAAGCAAGAAGAAAGATAATAAAATTAATCTTAAATAAAAAATTTTATGCTAGACTCTTGTAATATACTAGAATACAAATGTATGATATATCTTAGAAGCAATAATAAATATTGCTTATAAGTAGAGAAATATTTATCATAACCTGTGATTACTTACCGTACTTTTGCTTCTTTTTGAATTTTAGTTGAAAGAAACCGACGTGGGAGATTAATATTTCGCATTTTTATCAATTTATGCATAAAAATAAAATATATTTCTTTTTTGATAATATTTTAAATTGATCTTTAAAAGCCGACAGAGTGACAGTCCGAGTTCGAATTGATTTTAGTGACCTCATGTGAGGAAACTAAGAAACTCCGAATGACAAAAACAGATTCTCTCGCGATCCTTGTCTCTCTTGCAATTGCTCTGTCCGCAAATTTATTAAATTATTAACTAATAAGATCATAGATGCTTTATTAAATTTGCTCACTTTTGTAATTTTCACTACATTGCATGATACACGATCGATGCCTTGATCACAAATTGTGTTATCAATCACGAAAATGCAGAAACCGACATTATCCACTCATTTTCGATGATACGTTTATCGGATTCAACCGCTCGGGGCGCATGTGTCGACATCGAGGTCGACTGTAGTGGACTATAGATAAAGGAAAAACTCGGCGAAGATTGGCGAAGATGGTGAAACGCGAAAAGACAGACGTGCACTTTTAATGGTCCGATGTCTAAATTAACAGTGAATAATAATTGCGTACGCGGCGGTTAATATGAGCGGACAGTCGCGCGTAATCAGTATAGTGTAGAAATACGAAATCATCGTGGCGCACATCAGCTGTGGATTTCGCGGTTTGCGAAGGTACGCAGAGAGAGAGCAGGATGTGCGCTTTGTTTATGGAGATCAGCTGTGCTCCTAAACACATCGCGTCATTCTTCCTGCTACTACGTGTGCTCTCGCCCATCAGCGAGCGACACTGCTATTTTCGTCATATAAAGGTCAGCCCGAATGCGGGGACAAAGCAATGAGCGTCACACGTACAATGTGCTGTGTGTCACGTCATTGTCCACTTAGAGAACTTGAAAAAAACCTTGCTCCAGAAAAAAGTAAAAAAAAAAAAAAAAGAAATGGATAAGAGTCACATTTTTTTGATGATAAAATTATTCTAATCAACAAATGCAGCTAACTGAACGATTCAAGTCACTGGCTCTTCTGAATTGTCTCAGAAGAATAAAGCATAGATTCGTTTTCTTTTGTGTCGCATTTTATCTCTAATTATTATCTCTAATTATTGTTGTTTTAATGTGAAAGAATTGGTGAATTTTTAATAAATCAGGGGTTGTAGTGTTGTGCTTTAAATTTTTATGCTTTACATGGATTGCATTAATATATGTGATCATTGTTGGTTATTATATTCGAAGCAAGTGTGCGTAAAACAAGTGTATAATACATTAATGTGATACTTGAAAAGTACTCAAGGATAAAATGTGCAATTTGATGAGTAATTAATTGAGCAACCGACAAAGTTAATCTCATATGATAAAGCGTGTTCTCTTATAATAAAGAAAATTCCTGCAAACAAATTATAAAGGAAATTTATTCAAAAAGTCTGCATCAGAGATATATGTATATTTAAATATGCAATATCAGTCGTTTTATGATAAAAACAAATGTGTCACTAAAAAAAGATAATTATTTTTTGTGCAAAGAACTGTATCAATGAATTGTTGGATTAAAATTGTGCTTGAATTTGTTTTTCATGAACAGCTATTTCTGTAGAAATTTTTATTTTTTAATTGTAGATTTTTTCTCAAGAATATAGAATTTTTTCTAAATTTTTATTCTCTATTTGGTTACAAAATAGGCAGTTTGATGATCATCATTAAATTTAATAGTTTATAAACATTGTTACAGTGCTAAAATTTTTATTCATTATATGAGTTTTCAAATTTATATAATCTGAACTAATTTATATTACTCTTATATTGTATAGGATGACAAACGGAAAGGTGTTTAAAGTGAAGTGCTATAATAATAAAGTGAAGTGCTAATATTATTGTTCAATGAATGGATAGAACGGATTGAATGAATTATACGTCGTTTTATAGAAGAAACTCGTTAATTTTATTACATGTACTATGAAAGAAGTATACAATAATAAAGTGATTAAAATAAACATTATAAAAAATACTACAAATTTATCTGGGCGCTTAATGATAAATATTTTCAAAGTGTTATCTGCCAAAAAACACTGATAAACTATAAGAGAGTGTTCGAAAATACATTCAGAGCCAGTAATGTTAGAAAGTGTATTTAATAATTTACAAAAACTTTTGAGTTTCTGTGTCGATTTCAATAGACAATACTTTGAAAATATTTATCACTGAGATACATTTTAATACTTTTTTAATGTTTATTTTAATTACTTAAATAATGTGTACTTTTTTCATATTATTTGCAATACAATTGACGAGTTTTCTCTACAAAATAACATTTAATTTATTTTCTGTTTATTTGTCTTAAAGTAAAAGCAATTTATTTTAGACATCTTTCATCTTCAATGATCATTCTGTATATTGAATTATGTATAGTATATTATAAACAGACTTTTATAAATTAATTCACAAAAATATTTGAATAAAATTTTTGTTGTAAATTTTTATACTCTTTTGAATATATCATTTTGATGGATAAATTATCGCAATTGTAACCTGCTGTCTCATTAGTGTCTTAATTTAACTAATAAATTTTTACATTTTAGATGCTTGTGAAGCAACCATTGACTGGTAGCTAAATAAATTTTATGACATGAAAGAATGAAACGAGAAACTGTCATTACCTGTGTGGAGCCAAACCGACGTGCGGAAACGGTAAGGTTTGATTGATTATGAAAAGTTACATTAATGCAATACATTGTTTGTGTATTTAATTTGTCCTAATATGTTATACTTAGTTTATATGCAATTGTTTTTGTTTGTCTCTAAGAACCCTGTTATTTGTGTTATTAGAAGAACTAATTCAGACGCCGCGGAAGTATTTTTCACCTGAGGGGGCAAAATTTATAAAGGGGATACATAATACATTCATAATATGTATATGTATATGTATGTAACTCTATTCAAACACCATATAGTAGGCCACTCAGTGGATAGTATAAATGTGCGAAAAATATGCACAGATTGTTTGTTCTAATTAACTTAATGCGCTTAATTTTCTTCGTTATATAGTGTCCTTTAATTGAACGAGTAAATAATCAAAAAAAGAAAAAGAAAAAAGAAGAAAAAAAAAAGAAAAATAACCCATTTTTTCACCTTTGATGTAAATATTTGATGCTCAATATTTTCGATCATGAAATACCTGAAGAAAACAGAAAAATTTCAGAGAAGCGTAGCTTATGAATTATCTCTGAGTGATCGCCTCCCCCCCCCCACGGTTTCGCGGCGTCTGAACTAATCTGCGCTTAAATGCATTTTAGAAAACCTGAATTTCTATTAGTTTACTAGTTCTACTGGCAGTGAAGTGTTAACTTCTGTTAATTTTCACCTATTTACTAATTTCTGATTGTAGTACAATTGTCCTCAATTTGCAAATATTTAATTGTGAGTAATTTGAAAATGTGTAGATCTAAGATCCATAGCCAATAAATTTAAAGATTTTTGGGAATATAAAATATTGCAAAATCCATGTATCAGCCAAAAATTGCACGTTAGATTACGAAGGAATGACTGCTTCTAATATTTGCAGTTTTATGTTATGCCAATTATACGATTAGAAGCATACATCATGTTTACTCTTTTCATCAAATTTGCATCTGAACGTCTATCATCTCTCTTGACATATTTGGATTTTATTCAATCGTTTAGAAAGTTTTGAACATGTAATTATTAATCATCATCATGTTTTACGTTATAATTTGCACTTGTAGATGACAATGGTACTTGACGGTAGCTACCAACGCATGCACCCTTACGAGGGACAGGGCGAGGAAGCGGACGATGAAGATGATCGCGAGGAGACACCGCAGGAATCGGGTGTGATAATCCACGTGGTACCGGAGGGGAACAAAGCGCGATGGAATCACATCGAAGATCTGGACTCATTCTTCACGAGAATGTATCGCTATCACCAGCAACACGGCTTTGTCTGCATGATGTTGCAAGAAGTTTTGGAACTAATGCAATTTTTTTTCGTAGTCACATTCGTTACTTTCCTCTTTTACTGCATCGATTACAGCAAATTATATAAGTATGTCACGGTCTCTTTTAATGACTCGCGAACCATCTTGTAATGTGTGCATCGCTTTAAAGAGCATTAATTATTTTCAGTGGTGGAGATGCCAACGATACCAGTCATAAAAGTGACGCTATAATGTGCATGGGAGATTGTATAAAATCGATTTCTGTGTTGTATTGGAGTCTTCTTGTAGTCGCGGCAATCTTTTTTATTCTCCAATTCTTCAAAGTTTTGTACCACATGACCCAATACTGGGAGATCAAAATGTTCTTCAATACGGCGCTCAAAATTGCCGACAATGAGCTAGACAATTTTACCTGGCACGAGATTCAAAAGCGAGTGATAGAAGTGCAGAAAGAGCAGGAAATGTGTATTCACAAAAGAGAACTCACAGAACTAGATATATACCATAGAATATTAAGACATAAAAACTACATGGTGGCTATGATCAACAAAAATCTCTTACCTCTGCGACTGAAACTTCCCATGATAGGGGAAGTCATTTTCTTGACACGAGGACTGAAATACAACATAGAATTACTATTGTTTTGTAAGTATGCTTAAACAACACATAATTTTTCCAGAAGCAATGATTAATATTGATTAATATTAATTATCATTGATTCCAGGGGGGCCATGGTCGCCATTTGAAAACAATTGGCATCTAAAGGAAGACTATAAAAAACTGAATAAGAGGCAAGAACTTGCACGATTATTGTCCAAGCACATTTTATGGGTCGGTGTTGCAAACTTTGTCTTATGTTTTCTTATTCTTCTGTGGCAGGTTCTTTATACATTTTTTAATTACGCTGAGGTGAGTAATTGTTTTCCGATCGATAAAAATATTAATCCATTAATCCGGTTCGTATCAATTTACGATAAATCAACTAATATTACATTTTTTCTCATTTTAACATCGAAGAAAGATAAATATAACAATTTGTTCTTGTTATCTAGAAAATTTGCTCATTTAGCAATTGTAATTAGCATTGCTTCCATTGTTTAGAGAACTATATAGAGAATTGTTGCGAAGCACTACGTGGAGTCAATCTCGATATAGAACCGCAAATGATTAACGACACAATTACACTTGCGCCAGAGTAAGATAAAGAATTAATATGCAATAAAAATGTTACAGACTATCAAACGAGAGCCAAGCGTTCTGGCGATGCGAACGTGGTCCTTGTATGGCCGGCTGTATCTACGTCATTTCAACGAGCTTGACCACGAATTGAACGCGCGTCTCAGTCGCGCGTATCGTCCCGCATCAAAGTACATGAGCAGCTTCACGTCTCCGATAATGACAGTGGTTGCAAAGCATATTGCGTTCATTACCGGTAGTGCAGTGGCGGTATTGTTGGTTATAACGTTAATTTATGAGCCGACGTTCTCGATGGAACGTGTGGTTGCGCTGATGACCATACTGGGCGCGGTGGCGGCGGCCGCGAAGGCGATCGTGCCCGATGAGAATCTGGTCTGGTGTCCCGAGACTCTTCTAACCGCGGTACTGGCTCACACGCATTACAGACCGGACAGTTGGCGCGGTACCGCCCATACGCAGACCACCAGGTCGCAAGTAGCGCAGCTGTTCCAATATCGCGCGGTGCATCTCTTAGAAGAACTGATCTCTCCGTTCGTGACAACGTACATTTTGTGCTTCCGTATGAGACACCGGTCCTTGGAGATTGTAGATTTTTTTCGTAACTTTACTATTGAGGTCGCCGGGGTCGGCGACGTGTGCAGCTTCGCCCAGATGGATGTGCGGAAACACGGCAATCCCATGTGGCAAACTGTAGCGCATAGTCCCACAGTCTCGCTACTGCCGGAGGATCGTACTGCGGGTTACGACAATCAGTTCGGCGTCGATCCGAATAAGTACCAGATGCCGATGTCGAATTATTACACCCAGGCCGAAGACGGCAAAACCGAGTTGTCCCTCATACACTTCACCCTAACGAATCCCGAATGGAAGCCGCCATCCCACGCGGAGAATTTTGTCACCGCTTTGAGAGAAAGGGCTAAGAAGGAAGTGAACACGGATCCTGATCCGTGTAATAATCCTCTGATAGCTAGCTTAAATAGCTTGTCCGGTCTTGGTGTAAGTACTTATTTTCTTCAATTTACCGACTAAATTTTACTATACATCTGCATAAAGCATTTTGCTTAGAACTCTCTTGATTTGAATACTTTGTCTTCTTGTAATTTTACTTTATTTTTCTCCTACTGTTTTTTCTGCGTTGCTGTTGCTGCATTGAAAAATGCTGTCGATGAACTTTGTAATTTTTTAACTTTTTATTCGACACTAGATAACATTTTGAACAATTTAAGATCAATAGCGTGTCTTTTTAAATTTATATTTTGTATTTTTTATTTAAATATTTTACATGTGTTTTGATTAACATTAACATTTTTCTTAGGATATTATTTCTGCTTTATGTCTGCTAACACTTTTTTATTATTTGTTTGTTGAAAAGTGTGAGAAAAATGATACAAAGATGTAAATTTTGTATTGCAGTATAAGGAACATGTATCAAACATTATTCGAAGCACGATAAATCAAATGAGTGTGTCCAGCATGAGTAACATTTTCACAAATCAGCCAGGCACGTCGGCCACATCGGTCGGTGTCGATCAGTCTTTCGGCACAAAATCTATACGTCGAGGTGTAACTAGGACGGAGGGTCCATTGCACAATGAGAGAGGATTCCTGTTTGATTTGCAGCAAGGTGTATCGAATCAATCGCTGGGTGCTTCTGTATTTGGATCGGGTATAGGTACCAGTTGTGGCATGGAAATGCACACTGATCTATCCGTACCTACGGAATTAACTGCTGCCGACATGTCTTTGTCTACATTGTACCTGCACGAGCTTCATCATAGACAAGTAAGTAATTCAATCGATTTTTATGATGCAACAAGCGCTATAAAATACGATATAACAAAGAATTGCAATAACTTCGATATGAGAACCCAGAGATAACTGTCTGGATTTTAGGTAAGAAGAAGAGGTTACCAGGAAACGGCAACAAGAAGTATATGGCAGCGAAGTCCGGCTCAGGAGTTAGCGACGCTACCCGAAGTTAGACAAGAGAGAGTGCCACTCTTGTTACATCAAGATTCTTCTCTAAGAAAAACCAGAGAATCCTAACGTTACGCTTGAAAGTTTATTTGAATAACGTCCGAATTCGCGCAATAACCATCTCTTTTAGCGGAATAAAGTGATTTGTATCTATTTTATTATGATTCATGTTTTATTTTATAGTAAGCAAAACTCAGAAATTATTGTTTCTCACGATTGACCTCTCTTCCATTCGATTTACGTCCACTAATCGGCGCTTGAGCGAGAAAGCCAGCCGTAAGATACAGTAACTATCAAGCTTTGATAAGTAAGTAATCGCAATACATCCGAGAGTGGAATTATTGTCCACTTTCGATGCTATGTAAATTAATTACGTTTCCTTAATATTTTTAATATTGTGTATAGTAGAGAGAGGGGAGGAGGGGGAGAAAGAGAGGGCGTGCACGCGTGCATATTTTTCTCCTCTTTTCTTCTCCTTTTTTTCCTTAATGTGTGGCCAACGATTTAATAATGCCTATTCTTAATGTCAAAGGCCTACCTGAAAACTTACATTTTACATGTAAAATATTGACGCTTAGAGTTATTGTATTTTATGTTCTGACATATTGCAGGTTCTACGTACATTATTACTTAAAAGTTTGGAAAATCTTACAATTTTTAAATAAATTAATCCTTTTCTTTTACAGATACAATTAGGTTCTCAAAAATATCAACGTATAAACTTGAGAAACCACTTAAGTAAAATTTATGATTAAAGTAACACAAAATTACATACATAGTATCAAATAGATTAAACTTTTTTTGCAAAAGAATTCTTTTTCGATTTTATTACTTTTTTGACACATTCTTGATTATCTAATAATTAAATTTGGACATTTTTGCTTTAATATGTCTCAGATGGTGCAAATGTAAAATTGTTCGTTCTTTTGTGAAAAAAAAAAAACAGTTTAATCAATTTTAATTTTGATTATGTATATATAGTATGCTTAATTATAAACATATATATATAAACAAGACATATATATATGTGTGCTTATGCAAAATATATACATACATTATATACATATATACACACGCGCGCGCATGTGTATACACGTATGTATGTATAACTTTGCGATTGTTTTAATCGTAAACTCTACTCAAATAATATATGTTCGTTGAAAAAAGTATATTAATATTTTCAATAAAATATTTCCATCTGATTTAATCTAAAAATTATAAAATGTTTCAAATTTTTGAACGATAATGTACGTATAAGAGACAATTAATTTTTAGCTTTTGACAGGCGTTGTTATACTAGAAACGAACGTGTTAAAAGTTTATTTAAAAAGAACAATTAAAATATTTTGAATGTAAATGAGTTGAATGTAATTTAATAGTAATAATCTCTTTTGAAGTCAACAGAAAATTAAAAGAGAAAAACAAAATAATATTCTTATGTTTAATATAAAAAAATTGTAATTTACATATTAATTTTAATCGCCTCCTACGATGCCACGATTCTCTCTAGTCATACGAAATTAATATCGCGCCGTAGTATACTTCTCTCCTTTTTTTAGATGTAAAGTCGTTCTTATTTATTTTTAACATTTTATTTCTATTCTTAGCGCTATTTTATATATGACGGCGGTTAAAAATTGATGGCTAGGGTAACTCGTAGAATCATATGTACATAAGATCGCGATATTTTCAATAATGCCGCGATAAGGATGATAGTTAAAGGATCAGTCACGTCTTGTCTTTTGACGTAACGGAGGTTGTTACGAAGTATATTTAAGACAAATTTAGACTACTCTACTTATTCTTTGTTTATATGCCACATTTAGTAACTTAATACGAAATTCATGATTTTTAAGTGAATTGACGTATAACAAGTAACAAGTTAAATAAGAGAATACGTTTTGCTAAATCTTATATCGATGTGATTCTCGTGATATGAGAAATTAGCGCTATAAGGGATATCTGTAATTATCATTATGACGAAAATAAATAAATTTCATAATAAATTAATTTCAGAATTAGTCTTTCTAATTAATCTTTAAGTCGCGAGATGTCAAATACGATGCAGTAATGACACGAATATTGCGAATATTACACGATACTCAAAAGTGAAAAAGTATTAATAATGCCAATACGCGCAGAAAGCTTTTGTCTTGTAAACCATCTTGTAATAATTGACAATCACATAAGTACAAGAAAATTGACTATCAACAAAATGCATGGAAATATGAACGCTTGTCACACACAAGAGGTAGAGATTGTATCGTCAACTTCTAAGTTGATAGATGCTTCCAAATACAATCTGCGGTGTAACCGCAATATTAGTGAAAAAATGACAAAGAAGGATTTTATTTATGACATCCCTACAGCTGCGCAGACCATGAGAAAGGTACCTTATCTTACCTTATCAATTCACGATAATTTTATTTGCTAATTCACACAGCGACTTTCGAGATTTAGTCTGATCAATCAATATTCAACATTGACTTAGAGCAAAAAATCAAAATTATTAGAATATTGAATCAACTTTTTGTTTATTGATAACTATTAAAATGCACATCCCAATGTATGAAAATAAAGTTTATGATTTGCAGCTTGAGATACAAAAACGACCGTTCATACTTCAGATACAGCTACGGCGAAAAATGTACGCTAACTCAAAAATGCCACTACGGTATATAATTTCTAAAAATATAGATCATGATGGTAGTGGTGATGCAACTGTAGTAAGTAAATATTTATAAAAACGTACAGAATTTCTATTTTTGTATGTTTGGTGTTTAAACAAAGATACTTTTCCCTGTTTCATAGTTTTGAATGAGTAAAACAAGACAAAAAAGAAAGAGTAAAGGAAGAATTTTTTATTTAGAAAATTTTCAGTGTTTTTTTTTTCACTAATTTTAACCAGCACATTAGAATAACGATTAAGATTAGTGTCAATGACAGTATTACTACATGAACAAGAAATAGACAGGCATTGATGAGTTCAATACATTATTCAGGATAAAAACTAAAACACATTACATTTGAATTTTTTGCTTTTTTGTTTTTTTCCATCTATCTATAATTTGACATTAAAAACCAATAATCTTGTCAATTAGGTTTTTTCTCTATTTCTTATGAGATTATTTTCTGTTAAAACTAGTAAAACTAGTTAAAACTAAAAAAGTATAAATAATGTGAGTATCACAGCAATAGAAGACATTTATGGAATAAATAAAGAAAATTTTTTGAAATAAATAAGAGTATTTAGCTTTTTTTATTAAAAGTTAATTATATCACTGTCACTAATTTTGATCTCAGAAATCTTTATCTCTATCAAGATCTTCGAAATATATGGGCAATTATTAATTATGGCATATAATAATGTAGAATTCAAATTTAACTAAATTTAAATTAAATTTAAATTTTTTTGAATTAAATTAAATTTAAAGTATAAATTTGCACATTTAAATATCTACCTGATTTTGAATAATTTTATGTAAATCTTATATATCGAATTTTAACTTTTTTGCAAAGTAATCAAAATCTTTTATATGTTGTAAAATAAAAAAACTTATTTTGTTTTTAATAATCAAGTCAAAATATTATAAATACTGCTTAATTATTAAAGGAACAAGGTTATTATTCTATTAACAATATTATTCTATTTAAATATTGCAAAAGTGTGTTAAGTTTTTATAAAATCCAAACTTAAAATTTTATTGTCAAATTTTTTTCAGGTTACTAATCGACGCACTTTAAAATACAAGTGCAACTTCTGTCACGAACCTATTGCCACGTTGTTTTCTCTGTCGACTCATGTTAAATTCCACTGTCAAACATACTGCAAGATATGTTATTGGATTTTGGAGCAAAATGAGACTATGAAACAGCATATCAGCAATTGTCATGAAAATAGTCCGGGGATAGCAAACTAAAATCTCATTTAAAAACGTTGTTTCTGCATTCCAAATAAAACTCTATATAATCTAAATAAAAAATACTTAAATAAAATTTACGCAAAAATAAAAAATTCTCTATTTTTGTAAAATTAATAAGTCACGCCACATTATTATGTTATATTTATCTTATTTTCATAAAATGGATATATAACATCTGTTCTTTAACTTTATTTTGTAGTCAAGATTTATTTATTTTGCATTATTCGTGTAAGAGATCATTATTACGCAGGTGGTGGGATCTTTCGTCATAGCGGAAACAATAAAGGAAAACTGAACGAGCTGATGCGCGTTGTCAGTCCGCGTTACTTTTCCGTGAGATATATAAATAAATTAAGGTCTCTAGTGACTATAAACGGTGCTGTTCTGAAGTTGTATAAAAGGGTCGCGATTGTCAAGAGGTCCTGAGTGAATAAATATAAGGGAAATCTCTGACGAAGCAATACGGAGGAAATAATTTGTACTTGTAAATCAGTGCTCGGAATTAGTCTGAACATTTCAGCCGATTTCCGTGGTATACGCCTCCTTTCCTCTCCTTACCGCGCGCGCCGCAGCCGCTAGGGCCAGCGCCGCCGAGCGTTAGGAGCGACACTATCTGATTATGAGTGGGTTCTTTTCCCTATTTATTAAAATTTTAAAAAATGTATTAAAATTTATTAAAATAAATTTTTATTTTAAATTTATTAAGTGGAAATATTTCAATAGATTTCCACGTCACCCATGAGATACTAATGCTGACGCGTTTTTTTTAAATGGTTTCCCCCGTAGACCTATTCCACTAAAGATAAAAATAAATTCTTAATTTAAAAAAAATATATATGTAAAAGAGATTTTCTTAATTAGATTTTCTTAGCCTTTTATGAGAATGAACAATTGATGCAATAATGTAGAATAAAAACCACTTTTTGAAAACGTGTTAGTATTAGTACCTCATGGGTGACGTAGAAATCTATTGAAATATTTCCACTTAATAAATTTAAAAATTTATTTTTAATAAATTTTAATAAATTTTTTTAAATTTTAATAAATAGGGAGAAGAATCTACTCATAGAACCTAATCAGATAGTGTCGCTCCTAACGCTCGGCGGCGCTGGCCCTAGCGGCTGCGGCGCGCGCGGTAAGGAGAGGAAAGGAGGCGTATACCACGGAAATCGGCTGAAATGTTCAGACTAATTCCGAGCACTGTTGTAAATAATTTAGTTTAAGAATAAATCATAGTATATACGCACATATTTCTCCTTACAAAATCTATTTTTTTAAGTGAACGGATTTTGATCTCTGATCAATTAATCACTATTTTACTATGAATTCAAGTCTTTTGACGGAGACGATGCAATGACGTCATTGGTCAACTTTGGATCGATTAAAATCCATTCACTCGAAAACACTATTAGTGATTACGGTTGCTCAATTAAAGTTAGAAAAATCAAAAGCTCAGTTCTGATTACGGCTACAGAAATTGTGTGCTATAGCCTTTAGCGATGCGTGAATCGTACTATTATTTCGTTAAATAAATATTTAGATGTGATAAATGAGTGAAATTGATCTATGCGTATTCTTCCAGATCGATAAAAATGCGACAATCAAAGTAAGAACTTTTTTCGCACTTCGCACCAGAATTTGAACATTATTATATATTATACTGATTTTAATCATGCTCTTTTAATGTTGCTCTTTTTGTTATTCTCAAAGTTTGAGAAATAAAGACACCGATAACGACTAATCATTATCAAATAAATAAATATCAAATTATTTATCGTTGTAGTGTACTTTTTTGCTTCTTGTTTCATTACTTTAAGCTCAATCTGCAATGTGCTTTTTGATTTTTGTTTTCTGCCTTTTTGCCTTTATGTAAAGGCATATTTTTCTTCGGAAATTCAGAAAGGAGAAATTCTAAATCACGGTGTTTTTTGACTCCGTGCGACAAACACATAAAAAGGAAAAATACGAAAGGCAGAGAGCAAGAAATAATACGCAAGAAGCATATTGTGTTGACCAGGCCTTAAACATTCAGTCGCACGAATACAAAAAAACAGATCCCAATAAATCAAAACAGATCCCACGTACTAATTATCATAATTAGGCAGCCTGATATACTTTTGTTTTTTATTATATATGGAGAATGTATATTAAATAAAGTAATACACAATACTTACGCAAAACATACTCCGTACTACTCAGACGCTTCAGGCAATCAATTAGTTCGGATAGTTCGAACTTCAAGTTCGGACGTCAAATAGTTCGGACGCTTTGAGCTAAAAGTATGTTCGAACTATCCGAACTAATCAAGACAAATAAGCTCTCGAGCTCTCGTTTTGATTGTTTTTTTTTATTTGAAATGCATTTCATCGACACTTAGTTCTTTGGGTTTGCAATGCCTCAATTGTTATAATAAATATGAATAAATATAATAAGATCGTATAAAGAAGTAAAATTAAAAGCAAAATCTACATTATTTTTATACGTTTTCATTCTTTTTTTCCGTTTACAAGTGATACTCGTGTACTATTTGATTTTAAGTACATAAATAGTGCGTGTAATGTAAACATATCTAATAGGTCGCGAGTTTTGGATGTTTGGAAGAAATATGGTACGAAATCTAATTATGAATCATTATATTTATATTTATTAGACTTGTGTGGTGCTTACGCTCAAGCAGACACATTCAGATTTGTAACTATCGTGTAACAAAAGGATTTTCAACCCTGAATATTTTCATTTTCCTTGTCTTGGTTTAATAATTCTGGTGCTACGATTCTTAAGGTAGCATCCACACTTTCACAGTAATTAATGCAGACAATCCTTTGTCCACGTACCATAAGATCTTTCGCCAGAAGTTTAATATTCTGCAAAATAAACGATTTTATTTATCAATAGCAATAATAAATACTTTGTACTTTGTAGAAAATAGTTCTCGCAAAGAAAAGAAATTGAATAAATAATAAATATGTTCTTTGTTAGAAATATAACTGAACATTTTCTAAATCAATTCACATTATCAAAAGGAGTCATTTGTAACAAAGCTGTTAAAAAGTAACTTATTCAAAATAGATGTATTTCTCGAATCTCATAAAATATCTAAAGTATTTTCATAATTTTATTTTATAACGGCAGATTTTTTGGCAATTGCTGACACAATTTTTCCTTAATATTGAGGCAAATCATAATTTTGCAATTTCAATATTTCATATACAGGGCGTTTTATAATGTTCGTTTAAACGATCGTGTACAAATAGAGCGCAATAGATAATCTGAACAAAAAAGTCCGTTTACAATTATCGCAATAATAAATGAAAAATTAAAAAGAATTGACGAATGATTGCGCGCAACTAGACCGTGGCTATACAATCTAAAATGGTGGATCAGCAATGTTGCATGGCAACGAAAAATAACAGCGAAGATTTAGAATGCCTCAAGCAGGTTCTGCCCATTCGCTGCTCGCGTGTTACTCCTCTCGCCACGTGTTGTTGTTTTTCGTTGCCGTGCGATACGCCGCTGACCTATCCAGAACGCACAGCCCACGATCTAGCCACGCGCGACGCGCTATCATTCGTCAATTCTTTTTAATATCTCCATTATTATTGCGACAATTGCAAAACGGTAAAGGACTTTTGTGTTTAGTTAACCGTGCTGTGCCCGCGTTGCGACGATTATAAAACATCCTGTATACCTTAACAGACATAACTTTTCAACTCAGTTGAATTATTTATTCAACGCTTTAAATACGTAGCCTTCACATTATGCTGAGGATAAGAAGATTAATATAAATCTTCTTATATTGAATCGAGTATGACATAAAAAGGGGCGATCATTGATGCTACGCGATTATTATTGTCTTCTTGTCTGTTTGTCCGCGACCTTTTCCTAAGCCTACCTAAAGAGATATCTTATGTCGAGGTTGACATCTTTTATGCCGATTACGAACAAGACCTCATTTCCTACCTTGGCGACTGTAACGTCCATCCTCTTTAGATTCTTACAATCAAGTATCACGTTGCATTCACTTTCTGCGGAAAGCTTCATTATATTAGCACGCAGGTATTCTGCCGCTGGAAAGGCTACCGTCTCTTCAGGTATGACAACTATTACGGTTTCCCCTTCGATCTGCGTTCAAAACAAAAAAAAACAAAGTATAATCTTCTTTATATTAAGCTACATATTATGCCAATAATTAGCCACTGTGTAGTAGGAATATATAATACACATTCTAAACAATTTCTGAAATACATATTGTTATGATGATCTTACTTTACTATTTTATACACAAAATAAATAAAAGGTACGAAAAATCGAAATATCTCCTAAGCTATTCATATACACTAATATTTTAAATGCAGAAGAAAGATAATAGGAAAAACAGATTTATGTCAAAAAAATAGATGATTAGGTTTAGAAAAAGAAGTTTACTTAGAAATCTTCAAAATGCCTCCATCCTTAAAACAAACGCGTGCAGTATTTGATGTCCATCTCGAAACAATTTTACTTTTGTATGTGCCTCTTTTTCATTCGTTACACTTTCAGAGAAAAATTTATTTACAGATTATAATGGGTCATCCTGTATATATTTTAGATATTTAAAAAAAACATAATTTAAATATAAATTTCCTAACTGTAATAAGATTGATAACAATCTTATATGTAAAAGTTAAAGAAAAGTACGTCAGATAGTATTAATATACGAAATATATTATTTTCTATCTTTTATATTAATCATATTAAGAAAATATAGGTTTACATATATATTTTTTGATATAATTAATATAATTATTGCAAATTAAGTATAAAAATATTATCCTTTAAACATATCAAAGCATAGGAAAACATTTTTTTTGACATTAATTGACATTAGCCAATAAATATATACATATGCATATTGAAAAATTATAAAGTATATTCAGTTACAGAAAAATTTGGTTAAAAAATTATATTTTTTCAGTTTTTAACAAGAAAACAACTAGTTGTAGTAATCATCATTTCATTATATTTTATAATGTTTCTTCCGATGCAAATTATATTTTTATAGACGTTCTAACTATGCAAATCAGAAAAATTTTTTAATGTCATACGTTAAGAAGAAAAGTGTAATAGACATTTTTGAAACAGATAAAATATTAACAAATTTTTTCAATATTACATATTATAGGATTGATCAGTCAATTCATATCGCATTACTATACCTGTTCGATTTTTGTCCGAATGGAGGGTCGCGCTGAACAATACAGCAATGCTATAAAATTGACAATGATGCCAATTAAAATACCGTACTCCAAACCAAGAAAGACGCAGGGAACCAATGTAAACATCATCACAATGAAATCGACCTCTAAAAAAATATTAGATTATTAGCTTACTCAAAGTCAGATGAATCAGACGAATGCTGTATGAAAATTAATATGAAATTTTTTATTATGCCTTACAGAATACAGAGAATTAATAAAGATAAGCGCGCGCGCGCGATTAAGTATTCTTAAAAATAAATAAAATATTATTTTAAGTGCATTTGATTGGAAACAGTGTTCAGATTTACGTGATTTTTCCCTAATCATAATCTCAATTTATAATGATATCAATAGGAATAAGATTAATAGAATATTAATGATATTAAGAGGTGATGTAAGAAGAATATCAAATATTTCCAAATTTCGTAAATGATGTATAATGTATCTTTGTTTATTCGCCATATATTTTAAATTCAGAGAAAGATTTAACATAGAGAACTGTTATCATTTCGTCATGTTCGCTTACTCCCCATGGTTCAGTCGTTATTCATTCTGATTAATTTAAAGGCAGATCCATATTAATGTGGCCTCGTCGGGGTGACGTTTATTTCACATATTTATTTGTTTTTTCCGCCTTCGAAAGCTGAATGCGGATTTATCTCAACGAGCTTATATCGCGAAAACATTTAATTTTTACCTACTAATACGTCAAGCTAACTCTTTTGACGTATTTAGTGGGTAAAGAAGCTAGAGTATACCTCTAATTATCATAAAGATTGGTGTTATTCATACTATTAACACTTTTCCATACATCAAAATGTTTTTTTTTATAATAATGAATTCAACAATAATTGACTTTAATTTTGATCGATAACAAGTTTAAAAAATATTTTAAAAAATGTTCCTTTAATATCTCAATTTACTACGACACTATCGTATTCTATCAGCGTGTCGCGAAATAGCATCGACCGCCTTCGCGCGTCCAAGCCGATACCGCTGGATCTACTACGAAAGTGCAGATGAACTCGAGATGAAGCGGCAAATATCGGCGGAAACGGGCACTGTTCTGTTCGAACAATAAATGCCGCCAAGGACGCGCTCGAGCATTATTGTTTCACGCGAGCTTTTCGGGAACAAATGCACTGCGAATGCATCTCTCGGGTGTGGGCGGTCGCTCTCGTGCGCCTACGCTACGGCTCCTTTGTGCGGCGTGTCATCGTTGACGCCACGCTGGCTACACCACGTGTGAGTGGATCGGACTAAGAAAGAGAGAAAGAAAAGAGAGAGAGAGAGAGAGAGAGAGAGAGAGAGAGAGAGAAAGAGCAAAAGGTCCATTAAAACTTACTTCTGGCGCGCCACAGCAAGGTGTACGTCGAAAAATCGAGCATATAGTACATAGCACATATGATGAGGCCGGCCAGCGTCGCCTTTGGTATGAAGCGGAAGGTGGAGGTCAAGAGACCGACTGCGAGCAACACCAGACCACCTGAAAAGACCCCGTCGTCATAATTAAGAAACGCTCCGAGAAAAAACCTCGCTGCACCACGCTTCGCTGAAAAATGAAGCTACTTCTCCGCTTCGATCCCTTCGCAAAAAGACCGCGCGTATCCCTAAAATTTCTCGTTCACCGCGATTCGTATTTAAATTCGCGTCGGTCTCGAAAACGGCGAGAGAGAACTTTCTTCATTGTTCACGTACCTGTAAATATTCCCCCCAACGGAGTTTTGACACCTGACGCATGATTGACGGCCGTACGTGTGAAAGATCCCGTAACTGGCATCGAGCGAACGAACGATCCGAAGATATTGCAGACACCCAGGGCGATCATCTCCTGCGTGGCGTCCAGGGATTTGCCCTTTGCTAAAATAACTTGTGTTCTATTATATGTATACTGATATTCACTCGCGCGCTCCGGCGCAAAGCTGTAAAGAAAAAAAATCGTCGCGCGATTAAACGGAATTTTAATCGCGGACCGAGCGATCAATTTTTACATGTTTTGGACACTTTAAAAATTATTGCGCCTGTTCAATAAAATTTTTTCGTCATAACGTCTTTACTCTTTGTAATTTTATGAAGGCTGTAGTAGCAATTCAATGGTTAAAATTCAATTACCAAATGCCTTTGCGATGGCTATGTGTTCGATAGTCGACACAATTGGTATCGTGAACAGCGTTGTTCCCATTGCGGTAGTCATTTCTAAAAAGTCGTATGTGCGATTGTTGAAGGTCGTAGAGAATGGCGGAGGTGCAAACGGTGGTAAACCTTGACCCATCGATCCTGCAATATTTGTCTATTATTTGTCGCTTCGCACGATCCGATATACTAGTGCGTAAAAATACACTTCAATCGTAATATTAGGCAATAGCATCTCTTATTTTATCTTATTTCTTATCTTATATGTATCAATATGTCAATTCCTTAACACGAGAAGAAATCGTTACAGTTCTACAAATGTAAAAGAAATATAATATTTATTATTTCTATTTTTGCTCTAAGAAATTAATATAACTAATTAGTATAAAATAACGTAAAATTTATCTTAATTTAAATAACAAGATATATCACTAAACAATTAAGTGTCCTCGAAGGTAGATATTGAACATGTGCAAAATTCGATTAATCAAACTCAACAAAATTTATTTCGTGGAGCGTTCAATAATAAAATAAATCTTCTAAATTTAATTATATACATAATCTTAAATATCGAGCAAAGAGTCAAATAAACAATAATTTATTAAAATTATTTGATGATTAATTATTGCATTAAATTGTCAAAGTCTACTGTGGATCAAATTTAGTAATATTAGTTGTAATTAAAAAATTTAACATTAAATAAATGATTAATTTACTCACCCGTTAACTTAAAAGGATTTAGATTGTAAATATAAAAAATATATGCCATAATAGTGCCTGCAATTACAACCAATGCATTACGAGATAAAGCAAGAAACCATCCTATTTTTTGAAAAATTGTTCCTGTACGTCGTCCAGATATGTTCTGTTGAGAAATAAAGCAAAGAAAATGCTATTATTATGAAATTATTATCTATAATTTGTTACAATATGCTTTGTATTGTATATCATAATTATTTTATTAAATAAAATATTTAGTATTAGAAATTAAAAAGATGCAAAAGATTGGATTTAGTTAAAAGCTAAAAATATTGACTTTATATGCGCTCCAAAAAATTAATAAAGTTTTTACATTTTTGCACTTATAATTTATTTTATCATATAAAGAAAATGCAGTTCTGCAGTGTTAATGTGTATTTGAACAAGAAATATTATTATTAATACTGCAGAATGTGAGAAGACATCTCGAACTTGACCAGAACAAAAACTGGATTTTTTCCTGCTGGCAGAAAGTATTTTATACCTTGAGCAGCACCAACACAATGATTGTTCCAATGCCCAGCAAAGTATCTTCGTATCGGATCTGATGGAGATTCTTGAAGATTGCTATCAGAGAATCTAGAAAATTTTCGGTCCTACCGGCAATGCCCAAAAGCGACTTAAACTGAGAAGAAGCTATGTTGATCGCTGCGGCTGAGGTGAAACCAGTGATTACCGGAAGCGATATGAAGTCTAATAGAAAACCTTTAAATGAACAGATATTGTTCAGAAGAAATGTAGAGCGTGGTAAAAATGTTTTATTATTAATATGACATATTTCCTCATTCTTTCGGCATGGAGAACGTACGTCTCAAAATTTATGATTGTCTTTTTAATAAGAAATTTATCTGAGCAATTGGATGGCTTTTTCTCTTAACAATTGGATTGGCTTTTCCTTAGCAAAGTTAGAAGCATGTTAGAAGAGTGCATGTTATCATTTAGTGCATTTTTTCACTTTTTAATGTCACGCTTTTAACAAAATTTTATTGAACTATACTTTAAATTCACTGAAGAATATAGTTTTGTTGTCTATTTAAAGCTTAGTTTGTGATAGGTTCTTCTTTCACAATCATTTATAATTTGGAAATTTCTTTTGACATTTTTTGCTGAGAAAAATTCAATTCCAGATTGGCCACAGAATATATCGTTAGAAGTCCAGACAACACGCAAATCTTAAAGACATCAGAAAAAATGAAAACGTCTTTTGGATGTCTTTCAGATATCTTTAATATTTGCGTGTTGTCTGGAAGGATATACGCAAGTTTTTTAATACTTAAAAACCCGATTATTGCAGTAGCAAGTGTAAATCAACCTATAAATTTGATATGCTGATTGATTGTTATATGCTCTATTAAAATATAATTTCATTTTCCATTAATCGATGCTATCTTACAAATTAATTAATCAAAATAATGTCTGCAGTCTTAGCAAAAATGCTGTAGTTACAGTTTTCAAAGTTGTTATGTTTCTTTTATGCGAAGATATTGACGGTTTGTCGATTAATAATTCATTCCAAGCGATCTCGATATAAGACGAGATTGCCCGTTGCAGCTAAACAACTTTCATTCGTCCTTGCTCGTCCCATTACTCATCAGCTGGTCAGTTGATGTGGACCATAATAGCGGTAATAATTATGTAACAGTTACCCATACATATGCGCCACGTTTATTTATAATGCGCATAAAATTTTAAAATGCTAGAATTCAGTGAAAAATTGACGTATCAATATGCAACAAAATTGAATATCTCTGTTTCACAAATGCTTAAGTCTATAGCATATGCTTTTATCGTGACATATAAAGGATGTCTCAAACAATACAATCCGAAAAGATTTTATACACGGAGAAAATTTTATATCAAAAATTACTATGTTCAGCATTAACCGCGAACCGTGAAGCCGCGAACTAAAAATTTTTACTATGTTTCATGTAAAAAACATGGTAAAAATTTTTATAATTTCTTCATGGTCCGCGGCTACTACCGTACATAGTAATTTTTTATATAAAATTTTTTTCGTGTATGAAAAAATAAGTAAAAATATAGTAATAAAAGCTTTCATACGTTTTTCCTAAGAATTGTTTTGCAAAAATGGAAAATTTTTAATAATATTAAATAATTTTATACTTTCGAGTATATCACACCTTAGCGTACCTAAATGAAAAATTCCTAGAAGCGCAATGATGCATCCTTTCAAAAAAGCGATTAGTACAGCCATGTCAGCACCGTTTTTTTCGACTAACGGTTGAACCATAGTGGCCATAATCGCTGTTGGACCAATAGTGATGTTTTCGCAAGAACCGAAAACGATATATACAAATGATGCCATAAATGCTGCGTACAGTCCGTACTATAAGATCATAACACATTACAGAGAAATTAAAGTAAGACTTTTCAAAGGCAATATTATTATGAAATAAATATGTATATATAATTTATATTAATGTAAAATCGGATATATCTAGTGTGACAACATAAATATAACACAGTTTATTAATCCTTTGAGTTCTGCTGCTATATCATATATGATGCATAGACTTTAAACAATATTAAATCTTCTTTATTGACTTATTTATTTGTTTGTCGTGAAAATTAAATTTTATGCTTGTTTGTCTGATGAGCGTAATAATAATAATAATAAGCGTAATATATATTAGTAAGATCATTTTTTTTAACAGTACAATCTAAATCTGGGACTCAAAGCATTAATGTATGACATTATTTAGAAAAAATATTGTTTAAAGAAACATAAATTTAAATCATGTACCAATAGATTGTAGCAAAAATATTTCTTTGGTATCACTTAAGAATAATACTTTTTTAAATATTAGGAGAAAAATGTATCAAAACAGAAAGTATTAACAGATTTTCCAGATTTATAATGCAAAACAAACTCAGTCTTCGTACTTTTTAGTCTACTTCTGCAATCAGATGCTCTTAAAAATTCTCTTTTATCTCTTTGATACCTATGATAGTCATTTATCTGTACACTTCGAGATGACGCGATGCAAAATTTATGCGACGGTCGCTCTCTCGCGATCTTTACCTCGGGATGTAAACCGGCGACGATACCATAAGCGATGCCTTGTGGTACGGCAGTGAGACCGACCGTGATACCGGCCAATGCGTCTTGTAAAAGCCACGTGGGTTTGTATCGTGGCAGCCAGCTAAGAACCGGCAATCTTCGCATCACATATTTGCCGCATTTATCTCTCCTGAACCACGTGGCCACTGAAAGTAGATTCATCTTTATTTTTTTCGCGATACGAGTGATATCGCGATTACTCGTCACGTGAGCGGCTACGAATAAGACGAGTAATAAAGCAATCAGACATGATTTTTGTGTAAATGTTTTTGTTTTGACGTACGACATTTTTCCATCACAAGATTTTTTAATTCATCGTGACTTTATACGTACAATTCATAAGTTAAATGCAACTTATTCTTCTACCATTTGTTTTATTCAAAATTTAAACTTCTAGATCTTTAAACTAAAAATATTGTTAATAATAATTACACTATTAATGCTGTCCTACCTAATTAAGAAAGTAATTTATAATTTAGATATTAATCTTTATACGCTCTCAACAATTTTATTTTTTTCCTAAGAAGTTTTGAAATACTTTGCTTAAAATGATGAAATAGAACAAACCAGCTATTAATTATTTTGATATCATATTTTCACTTTTATCTTTACTAGAAGATTTTTATGGTTTTCTTATTAAATTGTTCGATCAATTCTTCACAACTCGTTAAGAGCAATGCGCGTGTAGAAATTGATGATATCTAAAATGTTACGCGAGAAACAATTTAAGAGCTAAGTGAATAACGATATTAAATAATATTAAAAGAAAACTAAGCTTACATGCATAAAAATGAAAGCAGTCAAATATCAAAATTAATAACTATTATGTGGAAAAAGAGCGAATTTAAAGTAGTGTACAATTTAATATTAAAAATCTTAAAATTACATAAAAATTATATAGAAATATTAAAACTATAAAGAAATTGGTTTTTCACTTTATATTTATACATATACATATATTCATAATCATTCATAATTATATAATTTTTCTAGTCATAAAAGATGATGTGTATTCGCAGAAATATCTCTCACAAAATAACTTGAAAAACGAATTACAACAGCTTGTTCTGATGTAACAAGTGACTAACAACTTAACAACGTTATAAAAAGCAACGTTACAAAAAAAGAAATGGAAAATGTTTAAAATGTCAAAATAATACACATTTGAGTACTTAATGTAATAAAATAATTTTATGACGTAAAATGTGTAATATCTGGCAAAGCGTTGACTTTCCGATTATTTTACTCCAATATTTTTACATACAAAATAATAAGAATTAATTTACGCTTAAAAAAAAGTATATATAATTCCATAAAAAAAGTGCAGTTGTATCTTGCAATTAGGCCAAAAGTTTGAAACTAATAATAATGAAAATATTCTAAGAAATAAAATTAAAAGTATTTACAATAATTATATTTGTATTATTTAAGAATAAGGAAAAACATTCTTTTATAATGAAACAATAGTGTCATAAAATCTTCAAAAGTTTTATATAAATAATGTTTAGAATATTAAAAAAGTTTTACACATTTTTTCCGTCAAAGTAACCATCCTTAGTTTGAATTACTTTTTTCGCTAATCTTGATAACCTGGGCACAAGTTTATTAATTTTTTCTGATAAAAGATTTTTCCATCTGTCATCTAAATAGTCCAAAGGTCATTTCTTAATGTTGGACCTTTTTTAGAACCATTCCTCGACGACTCCTTTGAAATGAAAAGATAATAAGATTTCTAATGTCATAACGTTAAGTTATGAAGAGTTTTATAGACGTACTTTTTCTGTCATTTCTTCAAATTAAACAATGCTAAATTAACCACAGCTGTCTTAAATAATGGTTAGTTACTTTCAACTCAAAAAAATATTGAATAAACTGTGAGTCAAACTTTTAAGTAATTACACTGATGTATTCTAAAATTTTATAATGGTCTTAAACTTTTGGCCTGGAGTGTATATCGGTGTTCAAAAAAAATATAATCACACAATAATGGGTTGTACTAAATAGTAAAAGATTCACTCTACCACTTTTTTATATCTTGACTTAGAAAAGAGCTACCTAAAACCCAGCCCAGTTACTAGAATTGTCTTGTATATGTATATACGTATTGTATATATTTATGTTTAAGGTCAATTACATAATATATGAATAAATACACATACAGAAAATAGCTATTATCTCAGACTTTTATTTTTGTTATCTGAGTAGGCCAGTGTCGTTTAACATTTCATAGCTTTCATTTTCACTTAGGCCATCTACCTACAAACTCCAACATATTACTATATAACATCTACTTAGTTCCTCGATTGAAACCTTGATACAAAGAAGTAGCGAAGGCAAAATAGGTCCCTCGAGACTCGCTGGCAAAATATTTTTCAAATTTGCACGAACGATGTAATCCACTTCTGACGAGGAAAATGCAAGTGGAGAAAGGAAGAGGAAAAGGAATAAGACGCTCTTGTGATCTCATACGACACGACCCAGATTCTTTGCTTACTTACTTTTGCACCGTAAATCGCTTCGTTTTGGTCCAATGCTCTCGGTCGTGTAGAAAATTCACGCGCGTTGACGCGACGATTCCGCACAATCTGTTCGGGAAACAGATAATAAGCAAATTCCCTCCGGAATGGTTCAATGTCAATTAGCGTTGGCAGCACTTTCGAGAACACAGGCGCAGTCAGTGATTAATTCCTCCAAAATTGCTTGCGTAGTTCGCATACCGAAACCAATAAGGTGCGTTTGTCTAAATTTATCACAGTTGAAACTTTCTTTCCGAAAGATTTTCCAAATAAATAATATCACTGATAACAAATTTGAATTACTATACAAGTCCGGTATCAAGATGCACTCGACATGTCCGTTGTAGTAAAATGCAATATTTTCATCCACTGGTGTGATAAAACTGGAAAAATATATTTTGCATTACAAATTATTCATCGAACCATTTTATAATGCCAGAAATCGTGCCGGAAAAATGTTTTCATCGACGTACTATAAAGTTTCAGACATTGTAAAACTTTGGTACGATTACAGTTTGCGCGTACAGCAAGTAAGACGAAAGACTTTCGTACAATTGTTGATTTCAATTGTAGTCAAGTCTGAAATTGTTTTATTATTTCGCACTGAACCATCATTCGACAAACAATTTTTACACACACTTCACATTCCACGCGTAATTACTCGAAGCGATAATCGAATCTACTTTTTCTATATTATAATGAGTTACGATTTAGAAAAAGATAGGCATATTAATTCACTGTTATAATGTGTATTAGAGCAGGATTGAATCTTTATTCCATTCACAAAGCACACTCGATGCGTATTCAGCAGTAAATTTCTAATTCCGTTGACAAATTCACTCACTCACTCGCTTACATATACACTCCCCCCCCCCTCGCCCTCCCCCCCTCTCTCATTCTCTCTCTCTCTCTTTGACACGACGACTTATTACTGTGCTCAGCTTTTTAGCTTTTGACAACGAATTTCAGAATAATGACGATGTGGCAGTATCGTTAAGTCGGTATTATGTAAAAAAACGGTTCGCGTTTTAAAAGAGACATCATCTGTTATTACGTACAAATAGCTAATTATCATAATTAATTATTTGGTATCGACAACATGAATATCACAAGTTGCCGTAAATTTATCTTAAAGTCTGTTTCACAACAGTCACAATTGCACACTACAAAGAAACATCTAAATCAAAAGGTCCCATAAACTTTTCATTTTCATTAATAGTTTAATTAAATTAAAAATGTTGCGCCAATCAATAGTGAAAAGTTTAATTATTAGTAAAAATTGATAAATAAATAAAACAGTTGCTTTGATCGTATTGAGAATTGTAACAGGCTAAATGCGTGGCGTAAAACAGTATTGATATTAATAGCATTGACAATTAATAATATAATAATAAATTGCTGTCAGTTTTAATTAAATACGAAAAAGTCACAATTTCGAATTGTCAATATAAGAGATATATTTACGCATTCGAAAACTGTAAATAGAAATAAGAAAAAGTTGACGGATTTTATTCAGCGAATTCTTATCTCTACATGACACACGCGATCACAACAACAGATCACAATTCGATCACAGATAAATATAGCCATTCACTTTGAACATCTTCTGAAGAAAACTCGCAAACTTCTATATTTTCACTCGCAAATCACGATAGTGATTCAGTCGGACTGATCTTGCAAAAAGAAAAGACGCGATACAATTAGTACGACTGACGTGAAGCCGGTTTAAAGCGTACGCCGCAAAATGTTCATCGACGCTGCCGTGTCGGCACATCGGTATAACAACCGGTTATGAAAAGTTGCGATATCGTATGTTCCACGAGAGCGACGGGAACGACGGTTCTGTTTCTCCTCCTTCCGCTTTTACTTCAGCTCTGAATGGCAGCGTATTGGTCGTAAGAGGAGGGAGGGGACAGCTGCTATATTAAGCGAGACTCACGCTCGTCTTCACTCGTGCAACAAGATTACTATATTTTGATTATTTATTATGCAATATAACCGCCGCGCGGAAGCTGGGTACTTTAATCAGTTTACAGTGTAACCGTACTATCTCCACGACTATCTCTCGCAATAGTTTCCAATTTTATACGATGAACTTGGGCAGCTAACTGATTAGTAACTACAATTGGAGCAATTAGAAACACATTGGAACTTACGACTACAATTCTTTTTCATTCATTTGAAAGTAAAAGAAATGTGAGATAAATTTGTTTCAAGAAAATTATACATTTTGAATTTTAATAAGTATTATGGCATACTTTTATCCACTGTGCATAGAAATATGAATAATGCGGCCTATTTTAACTCTATTAGCGATAACACTTAACACTTTTTACATTTTACTTATTAGTACAAAGTACCCGAGAAAAAATGGCGTAATATGGTCAGATGTAAATATATATAATTAGTTATGAAAAGATCTAATAACATATGTAATTTTATATGATCATATAAAATTCAGATTTTTTCATAACTAATTATATATATTTACATCTGACCAATTATACCATTTTTTTTCGGGTATTTAAAGAAAAAAGTTGAAAGCTTTCTTCTTTAATACACTATATTTTTTTGTTGCAGGATATGTTTTATCAATCAAAATGCTAATTTACTAATGTGTCTAATACAATTAAACAAACAGAAAAATAATTTCCATTTTTATTCCTAACTGGCTTTGACATGTTACGATATCCATAGCGTTAAAAATCAGATACGCACCGATATTTCCGGTTTATTTCAAATCGAAAAGAATTCCCAATCGCATTTCTCTCGCCTCTTCTCTTACTCCGTTTAGTTCTCCGTATTCATGCGAAGCAAAATATAACGGTGTCGCCGATGTGCGTTTAGTGGCGAAAAAATTTTACCGCTCGGTTTCCATAAATCGTATTCCGAATATAGTTCTGGCTCGTTTCCGGCGAGAACACTGCCTGGCGATAAATCATCGCGGTTTGTGCCAGCTCGATCGTGGTCCCGTTTCAAAACTACTCTATAGAAACTGCGCGTGGCGTGAACTCTTGATTTCTTTTTCACGGCCATTCTCTTCTTCGCGCGAACGCGACGCGACGCGCGACGCGCCGCGACGCCGTCGTGAGACCAAAGGGCGAACACGACGACGAGGGGTGCGACGCCTGCGCTTGACGCTGTTCGTTCGGTGCGTATGCTCGCATCGGGGGTGCCGAGAATGAATGAGCCACCGGCGTTCCTCAGTGCCGCGCGAAACAGCGAAGCTCATCATCGCTGTCCCCGTGTAAACGCAATAGCATTGGCACATTATTGTATTGACAAAAAAAAAGGAGACAGAGACGTGCGAACATTTTGAAATAGCGAATCCTACTCGCGTCAATCAATTTAGTCACGCGGATATTTTGATCGATGAGTAGAAAACTTGAAATTGCTGATTCATCAATGCGAAAGATAATTTCCGAGATCACTTAGATACCGGTTTGATATGCAACAGAGGTATAAATCGTATTTCTTATTTGTCAATTCATACAGTTATCTTTGAGTTTTACAAGCATGTTATTTACTCATAAATATAATTTTTTTTTTTCATTAAAAATTTGTCTTGTTTGACAGGCCATGAAAATAAAAATTGCATCTGTCACTTTATACGACAGCACTATAGTTTCTAATTTATAGACGATACTCGTGAGCTTTTTGTTAAATCAATTCATTAAAAAAAAATTAAAGAATTTAAATCAATTTAAAAAAGCAAAAATTTCAAAAAAGTCTTTGATATTAACATTCTTTTATTATAGTAAAATTGTTATTTTATATCATAATTATTTTTTTACTTTCAACTTTGTTCATTACAAAGATTTATATGTTTTGCAATATCAGTCAAGCAGATATGTTTGATAAATATTTGTCAGTCAATTTTATATATATATAACATAATATAATATCTTATCTCCATATTAATTGATATATCAAGGTTCTTGTTTCTTTCAATTGACAGATAGAAAATCTGATAATTCTTTCATTATAGATTAATTAATCTTCAATATAATCTTTTTGACCATGTAAAAAGTATTTTAATTCTCAGCACATCTATCTCATCACGTATAAACGTTCAATTGATAAATGAACGATATGGTTGTTTATCATCTTTACCGTGAATGTGTAACAAAGACTTATAAGATTATAGGATTCTCTTCATGTACTTTATTCAAACATGTACAAATTACCATTTCACAGCACGTTCTTACTAAAGCGTTGCGATAAATCTTTTCCATATCACTGAAGATATGGAACTATCGACAGTTTGATGTGCAACGAAACTAAGCGATTTGCAAGTTTAAAAACTTCAGACAAAAAATACAATTGATACTGATTTCGATATAATAATATCAACCGGATGTAGAAAGTTTTAATTAAGAAAAGTGGGCGGGAAGTGGAAAAAAAATCATTTTTTTAACCTTTGAAAACTTGCAGTAAGAAAAATGTTATGTCAGCTATTATATCATTGACTTCATAGACTATCCGCAATTTGATTCACGACTTGATGTAAGATTATCGTTTTTACGATCTGTCATTCCGATGTGCGTGCTGCGAAATTATTTATTATGAGTTTCCGGTGACCGCAAGGTGAGCCAATACAAAGTGCGTAAAAGAAACGGTTACAAGAAATCCTTACGTCCTAGAAAATAATCGTGTACGAAGGACAGTTTGCGTCTAGTAATAACAGCGGACGCACGCGTGTACGGTGTGATTATAAATTTATTCTTGTGCGTTTCTTCCGACAAAGAGAATGTGAGTCTCTGAGATCGCGAATGAATGTGTTTGTCGCGCGCAATTACAAAGCAAACTGATCAAGAGGAGAAAAAGATTACGAAGCAATCAACGAATTAATATGTGGAGTTGGCACGACAACGCCCGTGTTTAACAGTGAACGCAATAACGACATTGCTCTATCATCGTAATTATAAAAACAAATTTACGACGAACAATTAAATCGTTATTGCAGTGCGCGCGTTAATGTTAATAATATGCACCGATGTTTTATGAGACTCGGCGGGTCTCCTAACGCGATAATAGGACGGTCGAAGAGAAACGAGATGATTTTAATCTTGGCCAACAATATGTCCGTCTTGCTTTACCCGTCGCGTTATTTGTCGACGTAAAAAATTCATTAAGGAGACTTACTTCATCATTATTCTGCACGTCGCCGCAGCGAAGCGTATCGGCGACAAATTAGCGGTGTAAAACGTGCGAGAAAAAGTGATAACTATCGTCGCGGCGCATCTTTGCCGTTCGTTCCCGCGATCTCGAAACACGTCACCATGAGCGTCTTGATGTACGTTGTCCGAAACGAGTATCAGGACGCACCGGGGGAGACCGTGAAGCAAAGTGCCGTAATGGCACGTACAGAGATTGATTTTCTCGACCAGGATATGATAAAGTGAGTAAGATTTCGTTGTATTGCTCGTGCTTCAGTGACTTTTTCTTCTTATCACTCAGCACTATTGAACACAATTTTCAAGCCAACTTGTAAATTGTTTTTCTTTTTGCCTTCAATTTGCACAGTTTTTATTTGTGTTTCTCTGCTAGATATATGTTACATTCTTTCACTAATTGCAGGAATTTTGCCGTTTATTAGTAAAGAATAAAGAGCTTCTGAACAGTTCTAAACTTTATACTTGAGGTGCAAAAAATGTTTGAAAAGTTGTAATTAAAAAAATATTTGTTATAAAAATTTAAAAAATAGCTTACTTTTTAAACTAGAATATTTTCCAATACATTTTTTAGGAGACCTGGTACTTTTTTAATTTCTTTCGCAAAAAAAACTTTTTAATTGAAAAATTATCCAGTTATTCATTGTAGTTGTAAACTCGGTCACATAATTCAGATCTGGTATCATTAAATTACCATACATTTGGACTGTTAAAAGATCTCGATTGTGTGAAGAATGTGATATTTTTCTAATGATAATAAATTTGCAGCTACAATGCATAACTGGGTAATTTCCTAACCAAAGGATTTCTTTTTTAAGAAATTGAAAAGTTGCCAGACCGCTGAAAGAAGCGTATTGAAAAACATAGTTTATAAAAAGAATGAGCTATTGTTTGAGTTTTTATAATAAATACATGTTTTCAATAATGATCTCTGATAGCTTTTTAACTTACATGATAATAATTGGTTTAAGAATTAGTTATTATTGAGTTTGTTCATTATACGCATTAAAATTCAGTTTATGGTGCAAAATTGATTTTTAATACGCTCTCGATGTATTAGCATGTTTGCATACACTTTCAACTGTACCATAAATTTTGGAAAATAAAGAATGCTAATTTTGTTTTTATATTTTTTGTATGTGATAAATTTACTCGTAATAATATAAAGTAAAACGGCTAAAGATGATCAAAACGCGGATAATAAAAACAGACGAATTATTGACAGCCATCCTACAAAGATAACTCAGTTTTTTTATGTTTTCGAGTGTCCTTTGTTTGGGGAATAGAGATATAAAAATATTACTGCATGTTCACAATGTTCAAAGTAATATTATTTTATAGAAGATCGTTGCCGTCTGTTTGGAGTCGATACAGTGTTGCGACTCTTTACCCAAGTTTTCTATTGATGAAGAATTTATCGGGCGCAGAAAGCTGTCATTTTACGAGAGTATCTGTGTTATGAAATTTTACCTATAAAAAGCTTTTTAATCTACAGAATATGCCCTTTGTTCATCAATATCCAATAATATGTAAAACAAAATGAAATGTAAACACAAACGATCTTATTCAATTTTCTCTATATATTCTCATATTCATTTTTTCCATTTCGATATAAACGCGAAAAGCATCTGATCATCTATTTTTTGAGAAACTGTT